TTAAAAAATATGTGAAGTCCGCCAATCTGCAGTAGGGTCGCGTGGTGGACTATGCCCTGATACCCTTTTTACAGAGGAGGTGTACGACCGGGCGTCAGCCTAATACCGACTAGAAGTGATACGATGCGGAATGAGTATATTTGAAAAAATGGAAAATTATACTAACATATAAAAAGTAAGGAAAAGTATACTAACACAACATGAATGGAGGATGGACATGAACGGATAAAAGTCGTGTAACTAGAAGAACGTTGAGTATGACTGTGATTGGAGTGTGTCATAAATGTGAAGAATATTACTCACATGGCGGCTTCGAAGCAAGTGGATGAGAAAGGCATGTAATTAGTGTTCGAGAAAGACTGGGATTTTTTTTATGTGAAAAGTTACTAAGTGAGCAGGCTGTTCACCTGATGTTAAGTGAATACCGCCGCCCATGAGCATCAGCTACACCCGAAGGTTGCAGATGCCTTGATAACCTTTTTAAAATTGGGCTCCAGCTACCTTACTCACCAGACGAAACGCGAAAGTATATTTCCACTTGACGCCAGTCTTCTGTGAGGTTGTGGTACTTACCCGAGCCTGCCCATTCGTGCAACAGCCGAGGTTGCTGCGTGGCCCTACCACAGTTGAATGAATACGTTTCATTCGCCTGAAAATGTGAACAAGTGATAATAGAAAAACATATATCGATCACTCATTCCCGAGAGTTTTCTTAAGAGAACCAATATTTAACAAATATTTAGCTGGCCAGAAAAACGAAATTATTCCGGAACAGCGGTACGACCAGGATTTTTTCGGAAAATACATATACATTCTCTTAATTTTGTTTGTTTCTTCGTGTTCATTATATATTCACAACGAGTGTGTGCTCGCCAAGAATGTGCTTGAGCCTTAACTTTTTTAAACAATATTAATGGGTGTATTGTTCTTGTAAATGTTACATAGTATTTATTCGGAACTAGCTGACTCGGCAAACGTTGTTTTGCTATATAAATTATTTCTAGGGGAATCAGAACGCACGCATGAAGTGTTTGACAGGTTACACAGACATAGTTGACAGGTTGACAGGTACCGTTTTGTATGGGAAAATAAAATTGTATCTATTTCGATTTTCCATGTAATTTTTCTATAATTTCTCATCATTTAAAATTTCCCTGGACTGCCACGAATATATCAAAATTAGCCAAATCGGTCCAGCCGTTCTCGAGTTTTAGCGAGACTAACGAACAGCAGTCCATTTTTATATATCGATACCTTAATTGGCAAACAAGCTAACTCCATATGGGCAAGTTTTACAGGAGACACTTAAAACTGTATAACATTTTTTTTAGACTACTTATGAGAAAATCTAAAATATAGTTGGTAGATATTATCGTAAATTGTCATTTTTGATATTATAACATGCATTATACATTTTCATTACCATACTACAGCGTTTTTTAGGAGTTATCCGTTTTATTCTTTCGTGCAAAAGTATGTGATCTGGGAGTTAGCTGGTTTTCTTGATAGATTTATTTTAAATAAAAACTTTCTTTTTCTTTTCAAGTGTACAACCAAAGCGTCGTAGGGTTTTAAAAATTGGTTATTAACAACCAGAAAAGAGTCAGGTTTATTCGTATCATCAAATTTTATTTAATTTTTTAATGTCTGTTCTTATGAATAGTAATTCTATTAATAGAATTACTTTATCAACTAAGAAAATGGTTAAAATCGTTGCAAACTAATCAGAACTCAGCCTTTGCCTTCATTCCATAGAAAGGAACACCCATCTCTAGTTTTCATATCATAAATACACACGTTTTGAAGGGTGGTATATAAAAGCGTTAATTTTTTACATTTTTAAGGGTCTTTCCTATCTCTTTGCCAAATTTATCTAAAATTTTTATTAAACTATCAACGTAAATTCATTTTTTATCCCGTCATATTTAAAATTTATCAAATAATATTTTTCCGTCACCTTCAGAAATATTATGACATTGGATAACACTATTTCTCTTTTACTTACAGTAGTCTAGTTTCATGATTTTTTAGTAGTTTCTGTATCAAAGGAACGGCCTAATCGTTATCCGATTTATCATTACTTGTAGAGAGGTGAGCTGGCTTAAAACTTAGAGGCATTTTCAAGATTGTATTTAAGTGATGGTGTAAGGTGACCAGATAGCAATCTTGGACTGAATTGTTCTTTATCAAACGGAAATATGTCTTCATTAACAACAATTTCATATGTTTGCGTATACTCCATGGCAGACAGTTCATTTCCAATACAATAAATGTTGTTATCAAATCATCATCATCATTTCAGCCTGTTTGAGTCCACTGCTAAACACAGGCCTCCCCCATAGACTGCCACAAAGTAAGATCCTGAGCCACCTGCATCCATCGACTTCCCGCACACTTTCACAAATAAATTCGATGAATTAGAAGCTACACTATCATGCCCAACCAAAGCGTCGTAGGGTTTTGAAAATTGGTTATTAAGAACCAGAAAAGAGTCAGGTTTATTGGTATCATCAAATTTAATTTAAATTTTTAATAAACTTTAAAATGTATAACTTCCAACCGTAGCGTAATAAAGTAAGAAGCAAGCCGGCCAACTCAAAGCCAATATTAAATTTTAGAATTGCTCAATTACCTAGCAGTGTTTTGTAAGAAATAAAATAAGTATCCATACTGTATATTAATGTTCAATTGTTTTTCAACACTACCTTTCCTTTTGTTGCGTTTATATATATTTTTTTTCCAAATAACGTGGGCGGTAACCGTACATGACTCGGACGCCATACGAAATAGCCGACTTGGTGGAGTTAGCTGTTAAAATTGTAACGTTCCGTGACATGCGGAGTTGGCTGATTTGCGAATAGCGATTTATAGAAAGAAATAGTGATTATATCGGAGTTATTGTTTTTGCAAATCAAGCGGAATTATTACTGCGTACAAACAAAGCCAAAAAATGTTTTTGACCAAAGGTGGAGTTAGCTGGTTTGCCAATTAAGGTATCGATATAAGATTTCAAATTGTCTTATTATTTAGCTACCGTACTTGGTGATCATTTCTAACTATAATGTTACTTTAAACGATCTTAACATTGGCTATTAATCATATAGTTTAGAGCTTAGGTTTATTTAGCTGTTAGTCTTCTATGTCTTAAATAAATAAATATTTTTACGATATGCACTTTAGCGCGCACTGACTCACACATTAAAAAGTTTTCTAACATCACTGCCTTTACAAGGTGTAAATACGTAACATTTAACAACATTATTGTAAAGAAAAAAAGACTTAGTCAAATTTTATTATCAGTTATCTATTTGGCCGAGTAATAATATTTGTATTAAAATAATTAATAGAAACAAAATCAATAGAATTTATTTTCTTAACATGTAGGTACTTTATAAGTAGATCAATGTTTTTATTAATATTGTTACTAAGTACCTAAAATAAAACACGTTATATAATTCGATGCAATTTTACGCCTATGCCAAGTTTGATGCAGGGAGGTAAGATCGAAGGCTTTCTAAGGATAACTCGATCTTATGCAGGCTTCCTTGTGTCCACTACTATTCTGCCCAATATTGGGCACGGCATCCGTGAATTCTTCTTCGCAAATGCACAAATTAAATGCAAGTACCAAGTGACAACTCTGAGAGGGCACTAAAAAGTTAACATCCATAAAAAGACTGCAAAGTGACGTGACAATAATGAAGATAATGTGCCCGCTTGATCGTGTTTTTTAACGATTTTGAACATTACTCGTAAACAACCAAAGAGCATGGAAGCATTCTTGTCACAGAGAGAATTTAATAATAACGAGTTAAAGTCTTAATAGTATGATTGAAATAAACATAAAATATGTTTTTATAAATATACTAGCTGTCAACCGCGGCTTAGCCCGCGCGGCCAAAGGTTATTGTAAAGTTTCATATTAATATTGTTACTAAGTACCTAAAATAAAACACGTTATATAATTCGATGCAATTTTACGCCTATGCCAAGTTTGATGCAGGGAGGTAAGATCGAAGGCTTTCTAAGGATAACTCGATCTTATGCAGGCTTCCTTGTGTCCACTACTATTCTGCCCAATATTGGGCACGGCATCCGTGAATTCTTCTTCGCAAATGCACAAATTAAATGCAAGTACCAAGTGACAACTCTGAGAGGGCACTAAAAAGTTAACATCCATAAAAAGACTGCAAAGTGACGTGACAATAATGAAGATAATGTGCCCGCTTGATCGTGTTTTTAACGATTTTGAACATTACGCGTAAACAAGCAAAAAGCATGGAAGCATTCTTGTCACAGAGAGAATTTAATAATAACGAGTTAAAGTCTTAATAGTATGATTGAAATAAACCTTGTATAAAATATGTTTTTATAAATATACTAGCTGTCAACCGCGGCTTAGCCCGCGCGGCCAAAGGTTTATTGTAAAGTTTCATTAAAATCTATTCAGTAGTTTTTGCGTGAAAGAGTATCAAACATCCATCCATACATACAAACTCTCGCGTTTATAATATTAGTAAGGATAATACCTGGCTCCTGTATTTATTTTGAAAATTTAACTACTGTCAAAACATGTGATAACTTTGTCCAGGAAAATACCACTATCTTACGGAAGACCGGTTTGAAGTGGAAGTGTTATAATTAAGTATTTCGTTTACTTAGTGAGGTAATCGGGGCACACTTTTTACTAGTATTATTTATGTTATATTTATGTTAGGTCAACTTGTTGATATTGCTCTTGATGCACTCTGTTTATTCTCAGATTTTTAATATTTAATAAGTGATGTATTTCAGTAAATACCTATATAGTTTTTTTTATTATATTTATAGTTGATAAGAGCTCAAAAGAAAATTATATTTGCACATTCAACGCCAATAAAGGCGAGTCGGGAGCATGATTTAAAAAGGTACATAATATAATGAATGTTTTTTTTAATAATATCGGAGATGCGTCTCTAATATAGGTTGCAAATATGAAAACCAGTTTATGCTTGAAACTAGCGTCCAGTCTGCTCCGAATAATCTATAGTGCGATGTCTACCTGGGAGGCGGCGCGGCGGCGGCGCGGCGCCCGCGTCCCTTTCGCTCAAGGCTACAATACGAGGCGCATGCAAATATCGCCCTTGTCGAAAGAGCAATGAGCATATATTCCCACGAGCGCCACGAAACTTTTTTTGACTCATGCGCGTTCGACAACGAGCCTTAGCGACTTCGAGTTATAGTGAATTCCGTATCACATTCGCCCAGTGTATTTTCAGATTAACGAGACTCCGAATCCATTCGAAGGAAGCGTCCATATTTATCCCATTCGAATCTATTCGATCACATCGCCACAAGGAATCGCAACGGACGAGGATTCACAGAGTTTTCGCGGCGCACAAGATAACATTGAAATTGAAACATAAACAAACCGCCGCTGTCAGTGTCAAAGCCTCGTGCGGGTGTCATTGTTATTGTCGAATTAGGCGCGTACGATGTGATAATATTGGTGTACTCACCGCGTATGTTTCCGGAAGCCTGTGCTGTTGTGGTTCTCTTCGACGAGCACTTTTGCCGCGAGTGTGGTTTAGTCCTGCGCCGGTAGTGTGGCTGGAATAACGGGTCGGCGTCGGCGCAGGTGACAGAGGCGACGGCAGCGCCGCGGCGCGACGGCGGCCCGCCGCAACTCGACGCCCCCCTCCCTGTGCAACGCTCTTCCCACCTAGCGCACAATTTCTTTTTTGTATCGAAGGATAATGTATTCTGAATTCTGATACATCTGTGTGTATAGGCGATTTGCTTGCATCGATCGCAGCGATGCGCATTATTATACACCTACACCCGTACTACCGGAGTATTATATCTCGGCTCACGGGTGTTCCAGTTTTTGAATTTTCCCTTTTTTTCCCCCAAATGAAATGACCGTTTTAGTAATACATCTAATTTGAGATAATTGCGCTATGTAAAGGAATGTATCGATGCGATACTTACGCAAACTTTTATCGGTAAGTTCGGATCTTGCGTAAAAGCATAAAATCATTTAGAGCGAAGCATCGGCAGGCACGGCCAGATTTATTAAATTTTAATGTTTTCATTCGATTACCTACAATACATTTTAGCCACAAATATCCTAGATAAAACGTTGCTATTTGTTTATATTTACCAGTAAAAAAATTCGGCAAAAATCGATGCAAACGAACAGCAGACATTACATTAAGAAAATAGACCATTACTTTTGTCCAACATTCATTTTTTATATTAATTTTTTCTATATATAAAACTCCTTTTCAATAGCTATGTTATGAACAATCCATCAGCTAGTTTTTGAGTTTTTTTATTTTTATAAAGTTTTTACACGTTCTTTCGTTGTCACGATTTTACTTTTTTGTTAGATCCAGTGATACACGATATTTGAACAAAACACATTTCGCATCAACAATTTGTTAAATAAAAACTTTGGTGCTAACCAATACAAAAACAATACATCAACAACTACGCCATATTGTAATACTACCCGCATTCCATTGACTTTTTAAACTGAATTCGATATTACGATTATCAATCTTTTCCATAGCTTTTTAAATTTGTGTACTTAGTTATTGCGAGCAAGGGTCCTAGTTTATTGTCACAAAGTAAGAAGAATTATCTTCAATATGTATTGCCTATGCAATCAGTGTGAGAAACAAAATTTTATTATTTTTTCTATGTAATCGATTATATTTTACAAAGTTTCATTTTCGTGAGTTTTAGTTTAAACCGTGGGCATTGAGATCACGCGTTTCCAAAAATTATTAATCAAAATCCCATCAGTTTACTGTGAATAAGAAAAAAAAATTAAATCTTGATTTCTGTTAAGTCACATAATTTAAGTACCCGAATACTTTTATCAAATCAATTCTCCATTCCGATCCTGAAGTGAGAAGGCACGTAGAAATATTTACATCGAATATTGGCAAATGTATACACCTATAAGTAAATGTATACACCTATTGGTGTTGAATACTAATTAGGAGTTTCGGTTTCGGCGGCAAAACTGCCGAACCTACGACCGAAACAAGGTTAAAGGTTTTTTCGTCAAACGTTGATTATTATTCGTCAACTAATTGATCAACTAGTTAAATTCATCGAATAATTCATGTAATACTGTCATATGCATGAATGAACGGATTTTATTAGACGCTGCAGACTTCAACGAGTAAATCGTCTGACGGCTCACCAATCAATATCTAATTAACATCACTTTATACAATTATAAATAAATAAATGTAACAAAAGCTGTCTTACTTTAAACATCAAGTAAGGTTGCCTGAAAGAAATTTCTTTAAGTAATAAGGCCGCCCATTGTACAACCCTTAAATAATTTATAATGCATTATTTTTTACCACGGTGTGTGCAATAAAGAATATTCCTTCATTCATTCATTCAAGTAAAATTTTTATAATATTTGCCCTGGCGTGCAACTGTTGACAAATTTTCAAACAAAAATTTAAGAAAGCGAAACTTCTTTGAGATAGGTGGCGCTGAAATTCTTGTCGGCTCCACCGACGAGTCTTTCTAGTGAGTTGTATGATTACGATTAGTTTATAATTTAGTGCTTTAGCTTTAAAGTATCATAGAAAATGACGAATAAGTTTAGAAGTTTATTTGTTCTTAAGATATAGATAATAAAAGTGATTTATTTTGTTTTGTTTATTACTACTCGTAAATATTAAGTCCTTGTACCTATGTACATTAGGTAACAGCTAAAATAGGTAATTTTATGTTTAGTATTTAAAAATAACCATGAATAATATTCCAAAGAAATTAAGAGAAAACAAGTAAGTATTTTTAAGGCGCAATTAAAATGTTTTTCTTGAATGGGGTTATGTTGAGTATCATACCAACAAGTAAAAATGTCGAAGACTGCATAACTATTATAACTAATGCAGGGCCAGATTTAGAGGTCTGGAGACCTCGGGACAACAAAGGAGTGGAGGCCTCTTGCCCCCAAATTATTTTCTATTGATTTCTGTTAATATTTAATTTAATCATGTTTGTATAAAGTACTGTAGGTAAAAGTAAAACGCGAAAAAAAAAGTAAAAGTAAAGTTGTTTACTATTGTTACTGGTCTAAATTTCATTTTTTTCCCCGGGGTTTTGCCCCGTTGTCCTCCCCTAAATCCGGCCCTAGCTATTTGGTATATCGTATATAGTAGTAGCAGTAAATAGTAGTAAGTTAAGATAAATAATTGTCAAGTCCATTATTATCAGTAAATGAATAAAAGGGTCGGTTTTTTAATTTTTTTTTTAAATATCACGCGATCTCACTGCAGTTTGGTGGTTTCCTGACGATGTTTTCCTTCTATTTACTTACAAAACAAACGACTTACTAAGGGCCATGTTTGATGACCCTCCATCGACACAGGCATCTGTTGAACATAATTTATCCTAGTTTAGAAAAATAAACTTTATTTTTTTAATACTACGAATCTTTACAAATTACGAAGTTTCACAACTTCCTAGAAAATATAATTTAAATCAACTGTTTGCATATATAGCTTTGGATAACATTTTGCAACGAGTAAGGTAATTAAAACAAAACTAGCAGACATGCATGAGATATACAGCGTGTTGTTACAACAGCGACAATAAATGGACACATTTATAGAGAATAACTTTTTAAAATTGTATTAAGTATTTACATTCGTTAAACATCAATATTTACCGAGTTATTAAATTTTACAAAACAAAACATTTTTAGAACAGCCTGTAACGTAAAGTCCATTTGTAAAGAGATAAAATATACTGGTAGAAGGAGAGACTTGTAATGCGACGTTGTAGCAACGAATGAAAACGTCTCTGACTGTATGAATCAGTCAGTTGTATATGATGTTACAAATTTTGTGTCTTTTTTATTTCATTAGTTTGATTGAAAAATATATTTTTTTAAGTATGGATTTTTTATGATTATTGGTAAGTAACGTTAGACGTGTGTTCATTTATTGTCGCGGTTGTAACGACACGCTGTGTATCAACGCGGATGCGTAAAAATAATAATTCGACGCTCTCAGCGCGGGGCCTCCCAAATGATCTTGATATTTGATCCATGTTGGTTTTTACAATTACCATTTATATACAAAACGGAACTTTTTACATATATTCTTAAGCATATTCAATATGACCCGCGCTATTTAGAATACTTACAAGCCTTCAATCTGCTTGGCTAACCGTCTATATGATGGTATCCACAACGTATATGTCAATACCGGCGGCTGCTTTGATCAAGGATGCCTGGAATGACTCTAAATTATAAGCAGACATGCCCCTGCTGGGCAAAGGCATCCTCCGTAGAGACGGTATTAGGGCATAGTCCACCAAGCGACCCCACTCCGATTTGGCAGACCCCACATATCTTAGAAATATTGTGTGTGTTAATAATTCGAAAATATGCAGGTATCCTCACGACGTTTTCCTTCACCGCTGAGCACGTGATAAGTCAGCACTTAAAATGCATTGGTGCTTGCAACGGGGTGAGAAATCAGATAGCTCAGAGCGCCCGTACACAGAGCTATCGCGGCTTCTTTTCCTCAAAGTGTTGCTATCCTTTATAACTTTATTCTGTGATGATTTAAGTCTGAACTGGAGACAGGCTAGTATTGCCGTCTAATGATGACAATTTCACGCACCGCCGTTCAGTTTTGTGTGCTTTTCGCTCTATGAGCTGGCGCAAGGTCTTGCTGAAATACTCTGTCCGTTAATTATGAGAAAGACATTACGAAGATTATTAAGAAGACTTCTTGTATTAACTGATGTTTTTGCTTTCAGTCCCGAGACTATTAAAGCTTCATCTGACGCAGTTTAAGAAGACTGGTGACGCTTGTGTTTTAAGACACACCTGCATTCATTTTTACGCCTTTTTCACTAAAATCTCAGTCTCAGGTCCATTAAACGCGCAATGAAACGATGTCTTATTTTTCGATAAGCTTGAAAACCCCAAATCTTCATTCAATACATTTTCACCGTGGTTTTGCGTTACCCCATCAGAAGAACCAACAGTAACGCATGGGATTTCTTTGGGTTTGCGCCTTCACAGCTTTTGTCACTGCTGCGTCCTAAACGGTGCGCGGTCAGAGTTTTTTTTCTGCCTTCTAGACTTGATCACACAAATAGCTTTGTGTGATCAAGTCCCGTGTGGGAATCGAACCCACTACCCCCGACCTTCACTTGAAGCCTTGGCAACTGCGCTACTGACTTGTCAAACTCACTTATTAGTTCACGACAATCTATTTTAGAGTTGAGAAGACCATAGAGAAACGGCGTGTCTATGACGATTCCCCTTTTATGAATATCTATAGTTCATTTTGTATCAGTTGCATATCAACATCATCATGTCAAGCCTGTTTGAGTCCACTTTTGAACATCGGCCTCCCCGACAGACTGCACGAAGCACGATCCTGAGCCACCTGCATCCATCGACTTCCGGCACATTTGCACAGGTCGTCACTCTATCTAGTGGAAGGTCATCCTACATTGCGATGGCCTCCAGTTGCATAATTATTCATTAATTAATTAGAAAATTTGAGCTAATCTAACCGTGCCCCTAGAGCGACGGTGACGATGATGCATCATTTGCACTCATAAATACTGATACGCAAGTTTACTCCGGCCTTATCTATATGAAGTCTGACAGTGCTTTTTAAAGATTGCTTACAATGAGGTAATACTTATTCTAGTTTATTTACTGATCGTTGTTTTGAGTACGATTGTTTGTAGTTGCACTGAATCCAACAATGTGCATAAAAGTGGTAAAAATATATATCCATTTAATTTTAGACCGACATGTATTATTATCGGTGATAGCAAAGATTTTAGAAAAATTAATAACATCAAAAATAAAATGTTCGATACGGTGTCAATACCAATTCTTCTGCGTAATATTCCGCAATCCGCTCAAACTGCTAGAAAGCAGTAGGCGCTGACCATAATTTGCTAGCAAGGCCAGGGTCAAGACTGAGTCCTATCAGTTACGGTGTTCTTTAGGACAGTGTGTTGGGCCCTACTTTGTTACTTGTGCATATATAATAAATAAACTGTGTAATATGCAAATCGATTGAGGTCGCATTTCATCGTATGCGGACGACACAACCATAAAGTTTTTGTAGCTGGGAACTGGCAACATTTAAAATCACTGACTGGCTGGTATTGCTATTTGGCTGAACATAAAACTTTTGTCACTAAATGTTCAAAAAGTACAAATACACAATCGCTAAATTTTTGAATAAATGTCCAACAAAGTGATGAGAACTCTGCATTCTCTGGCTTATATGCTGTATTCAAAAAGTAACCGGTACAAAATTTATTAATATTTAGTCATGAAAACTTATATTGACATTTAGAACCTTACAGTATGTTGGCTTCTGAATTTATGGCTTCTAAACGCCTTTTTTACGAGCTTCAACTTGTGTTTGTAAATTTTGTAGTTACTATAAAACATGCTCGTTATTACAGCTACATAGATTTATTTGTGTTAGTTTTTTTCAAATAACGTATTCTTGATTTTTTTTATTTTAATTATACTGAAAAATTAAAAGGCAAAATTGTCAATTTGAACGATTAGCTTGGCAAGCCAAATTGGAAAAAAATTTAATTTAATTTTTTCATAGTGCTTATTACTCTGCACTTAAGATTAAACATTAAAATTTGTAGAAAGCTAAAGCGTCAGGACGCTAATCCCGAAGACGTGGGTTCGATTCCCAGAGCGGTGAAAAACTTTGATTCTTTTTCCACAGATTTTAAAATCGTGTACGGTATATTTAAAATAAATAAGTTCAGCAAACAATAATCTAATATACAGTGTGTCGTTACCATCGCGACAATAAATGAACACAGATAAAGGGGATAACTTTTTAAAGTTGTATTAAACATTTAAATTCTTTAAACATCAATATTTACAAAGTTATTAAATTTTCCAAAACAAAGAATTTTAGAACACTCTTTACCTATAAAAGCGTAACGTAAAGTTCAATTGTAAAGGTCATAAAGCACATGAATGGGTTGAATGAATTTAAAAGCGACAAAACATACTGTTAGAAGGAAAGGCTTGTAATACGACGCTGTGGCGCGAGTTGTATAGGATGTTACAAATTTTGTTTCTTTTTTACTTTATTAGTTTGTTTGAAAAATATTTTTTTTAATTATGGATGTTGTTTAACGTTAACATTTTTTTTATGATTATTGGCAAGTAGCGTTAGACGTGTGTTCATTTATTGTCGCGATGGTAAAGACACGCTGTATAAAGTTCTTGACACAGTTTTAGTGTTTATCCTCATCCAAAACGGCTTGACCGTTTTTGTCAACATATTTTATGTATATTTAATAGGTATGAGAATTAGCTTATTACTAATTTTAATACCCCTAAATGATAAGCACCCGAAACAATTTTTTCTACCCTACCAGTAATTTATATGGCAAAACAGTTTGCCGGGTCAGCTAGTAATGGTATAAAAACAGGGACTTTAAAGCATCAATCTTTTTCAATAGACTGGCCACAAATGAAATTGTTTGCATGTTTAATATGCGAAATTACACAGCGACTGCCGCCGTCATCACTCCACCAATCGGGTAAGATGTTCAGCCGAGTGCTGCGGGCGATGCAATGAAACAGCGCGACGGATGAAAAAATATTTAATTACAATATAATTAGGCAATCGTTTAATGACGCATGCACTAATGCCTAAACAGCACTAAACATCTAGACAATATCAGACAATATTATAGATCAAGGCCCGTCGCCTAGCCGCCGTGCAGAGCTTGTTCTGCCGTTGGGCACCGTGGTCGACTTCTCGGCAACAGCGTCTTCGTCCTCGTCGGCAAATCACGGCGGCGGCCGCGGGCACTAACTTAACACTAATTCACATCGATTACATACTACAAAGGTGACACCAAAACAGTTCCAGCGGCGACTGAGGCAACACCAAACGTCTCCCGGCTCCGGAGCGGTGACGGCTGAGGCTGACGATGCGGCGCAAGGGAGCGGACATCTGTGGCCGGTCGATTGAGGGACGATGAATGCAGCCGAGTCCACCACACGACCCGCCAGAGAAACACGCGACGCTCACACAAAACGCACCGACAACGACAACGACAACGACAACGACAACGACAACGTCAAAAAGTTTACAGTTTCCAACGCAACTACTATTTATTTATTTATTGATAGACAACTATAAAGGGGTTAAAGTGAAAATTGACGGTGCAACGCGGCGGCCATCTACATACGCCATCTACATACAGTACGACAGAATATACAATCATAATTATATAAATCGATCCCACAATGCACGAGAAAAAGCCGCTCGCATTGATATACTAAACATACAATTAGGTTTTACAGTTACGTTCGTGATATTTACAAAAAAAAATGTATTAGCGTCTTACAGGGTGGTGTACCACTTCGCGTGACGATTGAGCGTTCTTAATACTATTTGATACAGATTAAATAGGTTAAAAGCTGTTTAAAGTGTTTAAAATATGTGTTAATAAAATTATGTACGTTTAGAGTGATTAAAATTTGTTGGCAAGTTACATCATTACCTTTCTGGATCTACAATTAAATGTTCCACCCTGAGAGAAAAATCTAATTTAATTATGATAAAATATTCTGAATGTATTCTACAATTATACTTTTTTAGTTTACAAGTCTAAAATATTAATAAATATTTAAAAAAAACTATCACTAAAGTCGCAGCGTAACACTTAAGGTGTCAATAAATAATTAACTCAGTAACAATTACTTCATCCTTACAAAATTACAGAATCAAGTTATGTAGACACTACATATATTCAGAAATTAATTATGTGAACGCCAATTAGAACTTATTCGTCCAATGATTAAATCACAAAGCTGTCACACTGTAGGGGAATTTGATTCCATAAGATCAATAGAAAGTCAAACACCAAACACCTCTAAAACTTATGCAATAATCATACCATACAATCATATTAAATCTTCTTACAGTTATAAGAAAGGGGTAGGCTCTAATTTTCCCCATAGACATTGTTTGAGTCTTTGAGTGTTATTAGAAAATCACAATTACTGGCTAGATTAGCCAGTAATTGTGATTTTCTAATAACTTTTTTTCTAATAGTTTGCAGAATCATAGTCCAAAGTTCCTACTCCTGTAGGTATCTCAAACTACCGACAAAATATGATGATTTACTGATAATATAATATAATTAAAGTAATGACAATATGATGCATGTAGTCCTCATACGGAACTGTGACAAAAAAATATTTTTGCTACATATTATCTATAGCTATATATATTATCTATATCCATGTCCACTTATACACTAATAGAGTCATATTTATCAGTGTGGCTAATCCACATTCAGTAGTGACTAAATATTGTACCGTCTTACTTGATAACTATTGTTAAATATTACATGTATTACTAAAAATTTTAACACCGATTGTAATGACATACATGCAAGTGACATTTAATATTGTAGATGAAACGCACACTGTCACACTATACCAGTGTGAATATGATATGCCGTTAAATCTAAAAAGTTCACATACTCCTGCGAAATGATTCAGAGATAGACTTGTGATTGTAACATTCCTAAATTGCTGATTGTAACGGTCCTACAGTTAAACAGACACAAGGTAACGTATGAGCTAATATGGTTCATCAATCATTATACAAGTGTTTCATCACCGAAGTGTACAAGAACACTACATCAGCACACGGTACACACAAACAATCTACACACTTGACCAAACGTTGAGAACATTTTGGGGGAGCTCAATCAACTTTTCACTTAACACTGAATTCGCTCTTCAACCAAGCGCATATTTGGTTCCCCTGGGTTTTACAGCTTCTAAAAAGATCTATTACAGAGTTTACTTTTTGAATAGTTTGTTCCACTGCAGGACTTGCTTCGGGGGGGCAGTCGATGTGGAAGGCGCCTGGGTCGTGCTGGCCTTGGGCGCTCGACTTTGGAAGCCTGTCCCGGATTAGACACAAAATGAGTACACACAGGCGCAATAGTACAATGTAAACATTACTTGTTGATATGGATGGATTTATGAGGGTGACATGATTATGGAGCACCCACGTTTATTTTGTTCAGTGTAAATTAAAATAAAAAAAAAATTAAATACAGAAAATAAAATTAAGTAACCAAAGACAGCAAAATGAGAAAACAAGCGCATAGCATGATATGGACTATTTGTTTTCAATGGTGCATTTGTATAACAAGACATTCCAATTTTTCTATGCATTAAATTGTGCAAACCGTTATTTTTTTTTTATATCTCGTCTATTTGTTGAAATGCACCAGTGACGATGGAACAGTAAACATCAATGGCGTTTGATGAAATCTCGGCCCTGATATAAAGCAAAGCTGAGCCGCGTGTATTAAGAAGAGGGAGCCCGGGGAGCGTCGTATGGGGGAGGGGTAGTTATCACGTGTCGTGCGGGGGTGGGGGGCTGGGGGGTGGGGGCGTAACAACCGTACCGTAGAGAACGTGAGGGCGGCCCCAAGTACGAAGTGGCGCTACACTACTGCCGGGCCGGATTGATACCGTCCTGCGTGTGACAAGCGCGGCCGTCGCCGGGACGGGTTAGTGCCGGCCGTCGTACCTCTTTCGACAATGCTATTGAAAGCCAGCTGCTGTTGCCGAAGAGACTCCCATTGGGCGCGCCGCTACTCGGGCAGCTCCCCGCCGCCCGGAGGCGCCTTCTCGGCGATGCACGAGCGCGCCACAGACGCGAACAGCCTACAGGTTACCCGGTAACACGTTATAGGGCGGCCACGTTCAGACTTGGGGACAGGGGGGGTGGTGGTGGTGGTTGTTGTGGGGGGGGGGGGTGGTAATTCGGGTGGTTCGCGGGCGGACGGGGTGCGGGGCGGAGGGGGGCGCGTCTCGTCGACGACGCCACTCGCGCCCGCAGCTCCCCCCGCCCCCTGCGACACCGTTGGAAGATATCGATGCGGTGCGCACGTATCGGGTGCACGTATCGTACGTAAAACGCACACGTTTCCAAACGTGTGCGAAAATCGTGTTCAAACGCGTATAGGGCGCCAGTGATGGTACAATGAGTATGCGGAAGAGCTGCGCATTGGACGGCAACGAGATCAAAGTGGATACGACATTGAAACGTATAGAGAAAACATTGAGACAAGATGCTCGGTAGTAAGACTAAAACTACAACTAGACAAATGTGAGCCGTGGTGCAATATAAAATATTCGGACATAAATCTCACAGTGATCTAAGGTCTACTGCTTTAAACAACAGTTGCAACCAGCTAAATGATAAACGCATGAACATTTAAAATGATATTTATAAAAACGCAATCACTGGCATATCAAGAAATAAGAAATTATCAATAAAGGAAAACAAAGTATTAAATAAAAGTGAAATACTCAAGCCGAGAGCAAAATAAAATTAATAAGAACAATAAAAATATTGGCAAATTTTTGGGAATATGTGTGTTTGTGTGTGTGCGTGTTATAGCAAAAAACTTTGTTCAACGCTTTGAGAGATTTCCTTTTTCATTGTGACGTGTATTCTATAAAATTAATCATGCTGTAAAGTTTAAATATATGCATTTAATAACAATGCTGCTAACTTAGCATGCCATTTTAGCAGAATTATTTTCAATTCAAATGAATGTTTTACGAAGCAAGACATGTAGCCAACCGGGATATGACGTATCATGCCGTAGCATATAATAATAATTTAAATAGGTTTACATACACGCCCATACAGGGGTGAAATTGACAAAATGTATGGAAAGATACCCAAAAATTGCGTCACTTACTCGCTAGCACGTACGTCAATAACCTCTCTCAAAAAGCAGTTTGTTGGATCGACGTAAGCTAATGTAAACGTAATGACATTTGCGGTCATTTGAAACATTCAAATAAAATACAAGCTATAAAAAAAATAAAAAAAATAAATGAAAAAAATCTGAATAGCGTGAGTATTGAAATGGGCATGTCCGAGTCTAAAAGAAATTTCATGAATATAAAACAAAAAAAAAACTCTTCCTCCACGGCGAATGGAGAATCGAGTTCAATACGTAATGTGTATGCGCATAATCTGCTCCAAGTCCCACTGAAAGGCAACTCTAATAAAATATCGATATTTACGAACCAAGCGTCAATCGTATCGAGTGTAAGAAAACGGTGGGCTCACTTCTCGATCTCCGGCGCGCAGTGGACAAAGTCGTGCGTCCAGAACTTGTAGACGGGGTTCTTGATCAGCTCGATGAAGGTGATCAGCAGGCCCCACGGGTGGGGGCGGTTCACGATGAGCCTCTCGAGCAGCATCCTGGTGATTTGCTCCTGCACCGCTTCCGAGTTGGCCTCCGCGAACAGGTAGAGCAGGCAGCAGCTGAAGTAGTGCGTGTGGCTGTTCGGGTAGCGAAGCTGGTTCGCGATCGCGTTCAGGAACAGGTAGCTGCAACGGACCGTTCGTTGTGTGATGCCATCTATGGCCTCATTATTCGCCTCCCCCGCCAACTGCCAGCTAAGCACGATCCCGAGCCGCCTGCGTCCATCGACTCCCGGCGCATTAGCACTGGTCATCGCTCCATCTAGTGGGGGTCGTCCTAAACTAATACGAGGATGCCCCACTCACATCATCATAGGCCTCCCCTACAAACTGCCAGCTAAGCACGATCCCGAGCCGCCTGCGTCCATCGACTCCCGGCGCATTAGCACTGGTCGTCGCTCCATCTAATGGGGGTCGTCCTAAGCTAATACGAGGATGCCCCACTCCCATCATCATAGGCCTCCCCCCGCCAACTGCCAGCTAAGCACGATCCCGAGCCGCCTGCGTCCATCGACTCCCGGCGCATTAGCACTGGTCGTCGCTCCATCTAGTGGGGGTCATCCTAAACTAATACGAGGATGCCCCACTCCCATCATCATAGGCCTCCCCCCACAAACTGCCAGTTAAGCACGATCCCTAGCCGCCTGCGTCCATCGACTCCCGGCGCATTAGCACTGGTCGTCGCTCCATCTAGTGGGGGTCATCCTAAACTAATACGAGGATGCCCCACTCCCATCATCATAGGCCTCCCCCCAGAAACTGCCAGTTAAGCACGATCCCGAGCCGCCTGCGTCCATCGACTCCCGGCGCATTAGCACTGGTCGTCGCTCCATTTAATGGGGGTCGTCCTAAGCTAATACGAGGATGCCCCACTCCCATCATCATAGGCCTCCCCCCGCCAACTGCCAGCTAAGCACGATCCCTAGCCGCCTGCGTCCATCGACTCCCGGCGCATTAGCACTGGTCGTCGCTCCATCTAGTGGGGGTCGTCCTAAACTAATACGAGGATGCCCCACTCCCATCATCATAGGCCTCCCCCCACAAACTGCCAGTTAAGCACGATCCCTATCCGCCTGCGTCCATCGACTCCCGGCGCATTAGCACTGGTCGTCGCTCCATCTAATGGGGGTCGTCCTAAACTAATACGAGAATGCCCCCCACTCACGACATCAGCTTCAGCATACACTGCGATGACCAGTACGAGCATGCCCCACTCAAGAACCCTCTATCTAAGCGTACGCCGACCGAATGAAAAGATCGTAATTACACACCGCCGTGGTTTCTATAAGCATGGCAAGATTCGCGCTATTCAACCGTTCGCATTTCAGGCTGCATTTATTCAATGACGTTCTTTTTTAGAGCCGTGTTAGCTCAGCGCGGACAACCTGCATATTCAAGATAGCAGAGTTCAAATACCGCTGCCAGCAATGAACTTGATAATTTTAAGTGCTGACTTATCATTTTAAGTGCTGAATTATCATTTTTAAGGACTGACTTACCACATGCTCAACGGCGAAGGAAAATATCGTGAGGATTTCTTCATATTTAGGAATAACAAAAAAATATAAGATGTGGTCCAAAAATCCGCAGCACGTACAGAGGAGGCCTTTGCCCAGCAGTGGTACATGTATAGCCTGTCAATGACATTTATATTGCTTTCCTTTTTTTAATATCCGACATAAAGTGGGGTATTATAGGGTTTGTCTGTCTGTGTCCATGTCCATCTTTGGCAATTTAGCCTTCAAAACACATGGACCGATTTTAGTACTTTTTTTGTTTGAAAGCTGACATCATCGAGGTTGTTCCTAGCTACAGAGTTTTTGTTTCTTTCAGGGCCTAACTTAAACTTTACAATTTTATATTATACACAATCCATTGTGTCTTATAACAAACTTCCCACTATCGTATCGTTGGTTAAGCTCTGAGGAAATTGAGCACGTAAACGTTATCTTGGCCTATCTAGTGTTGGATGAGACTATGATATTTAACCTAGCCAACTTATTAATAACTGCGGTGGGGCTAGGCTTCGGTCTACGCTGTTGCACGAATGGGCAGGTCCAGTGTGGTGGCAACGCATCTGCTAACCTACGGGTGTTGCAAACGTCCATGGGAGGCGGTTATCACTTAACATCGGTGCTCCTAGCTCTCTTGCTACCTTTCCGCATAATTAAAATGTCGACCATTTCCGGGAGAAGTCGGTGGAGCAAGATCTTTTCGTTTAAAAAAAAATTACATTTCACCACGGACAGCTGTCTCGCATCTGGGTGTGTGTGTCCGCGTGGAATTTATATTTTTAAAACAAGCCTTACAGCAAAGAAGTTTTTAAGGGTTTTGAAACAAAAAAAAAAATACGACACGCTCCACTCACCGCCCCTCGTAGTCGAAGTCGACGGTGAAGTTCTGGAATATGTCCATGTGGGCGGAGTGCGCTATCGTCGACATGTTCGGGGTCTGGCCCTTGGCGCGTATGAATGCGATCGCCTGTGTGCCCACGTACAGCACCACGGCGTTTATCAGCTGGCTGTTGTATTTGCGCCCCTTGTCGGTCACCACCTGAACAAGGCGTGCTACCTTTAAACGGCGGCAGAGCCATTAGTCTCTCTCTCTCTTTCATCTCCCCTTATCCCACACTAGGTGGGGTAGACCACTGCATGCCCTTTCACTTTCCTCCATCGGCCGTCATCTCAACGCACACCCCTTTCACAGACATTCTTCACACAGTACATCCAGATCTTTTGTCTTCCTCTTGCTTCCCCTCCAACCGAATTCGTATATATCACTCTTCTAGTCACACGACTAGAAGAGTTATGTATCATTTGACTTTTCTTACTTATATCTCTCTTATAATTTCTCTTTATACTTTGATTCCTTCCCATTATGTAAAGTATGAAACAAAAATAATAATATACCGCGGTGTGACTCTTGCGGTGTGAGTAGCGTCGCTATAGCGGTTTATCACCGTACCACCTTGTGAAAAATCTAGCTCATTTATTACAACATTAATTAAAACATTCTCACTTATTATTCCTTTCTTTACAGTTTCACAGACCAGCAGCGGACCGTGATGACTCTTATATCGGTTAAAATTCAAAGGAAGAAGCAAATAGTATTTTATGATCTTAGGTTAATTAAGCATGTTAGTTAAGTGTTAGTATGGATCAAACGGTCGGCAACAAAAGTATTTTTGTAATAATGAAGTGTTGCGTAAGTGAGTGTATGTAAAGTGTGTCCAATTTTAAATTCTCAGCCGATATACTTTACCTTTGATACCCAATACAACTTACCACATCCAAATCGTGCATTCAATGAGGAAAAACATTTTATATACACGGGTTAGAATATACTCACCTCAATCAATAACAGTAACTGTAAAACTCACCTCAATTCACTTACCTTCATTCAAACAACCCTAAATCTTATCTAAATATAGATTACTTACCTCAATAATCTTATAATCTATATATGTAATAAGCTTACCTCAATGTATACCTTTATACCTGTTAGTAAATTCCAATGTAAATCAATCGAACCAAAATAGCCCAACCCGTTACGTGTCCTGCTGTGTTAGTGACACCAGAGTTGATATTATTGATACAGGCACAGCTCCTATGTGCTGTTAGTATCGTCGAACGTGTTATTATCCTGTTGTTAGTCGCGGCCCCTGGGGGCCGATCGGACACCGCACGCCAACGTGTTGTTAGTCGCGCCCCCGGCGGTATGGCGTTGTTAGTCGCGCCCCCCGGCGGTATCGCGTTGTTAGTCGCGCCCCCCAGGGGGTATCGCGTTGTTAGTCTAGCCCCCCGGCGGCCAAGGCGGCCGTCTACATACCTGCATGTTGCCCCTCAGCTCCGATAGGAAGGTGACGGGCGCCCGGGCGTTCAGATAAGCGTCGAGGTCCGTCTTGAACTGTGTGGAGGGGATGATCGTGGCGTAGTTGATAACGGCGCGGGGCGGCAGCGCTATCTCGGGGAGCAGGTCCACTTTCAGGTTGGGCGTGAATGGGTCGGGCAAGCGCATGTTGCGCGGGAACGCGGACAGTATTAGGTTCCTCATTTGTATGCAGTTGGGCGGTATCTCGTCGCAGAAGCCCGAATGGTAGTCGCATAGGAACTCTGGGAAGTCGTGAAGCAGCACGAGGAGCACTTTGAGCGTGCCCTTGTACAGCGTCATGACGGGCGCGGCTAGTTCCGTGTTCCTTAGGAATGGGTCCAGGAATTTGAACAGGTCTATGAGCAGCGTTGAGTACATTCCCCAGCCCTGGTTGAAACAATGGTATAACTTTAAGGCAATGTTTGTGTCAATTTGACTAGCAATAGCTGTGGATGCAAACGTTAGTAACACATTGTAAATGGTTATACAGTTTTGATAGTATAACGAAACAAAAATGTTAGTAAAACGAAAGGAAAAATGGAAATAAATCTAAAATAAAAGATAACCTAACCTCAGACATTCGTGTGATAAGAGATAATTATGCTTATGGCAGAAAAATTGCATTGATATATTTACATTTACATTAATGTTAATTATGTGACAATTTCAATAAATCAAAACTGTTTACTGGAGAGAAACTTTAAATTCTTATCAAGCGACATCTTAACAATTTTCTCCACAACATTAAATTAACTTTGTATTCTTTATTCATAATTTAACATAGCAGTCCATGGACAAGAGTCAAATCAAAATACGAAAAATAAAATAACATCAACGTAAAATAAATAATATCGGTAAAGAAACTAGTATGCTACATTCATCTCAGAGTTGATAGTTACCTTCTGCTGAGGTGTTACAGCGAGAACCCTATTAATGAACGCCCTGTGAGCTACAATTTCCAGCCACGCGTAGCAGAAGCCCGGAGCGACGCTTGGGCGTATTATGCGCAGCGTGTGGCAGAACGCGGTGAGAACCTTACGAGAAATGACAATTTTTTATGTGACAAAGTGGAAAACGAGCTGGACGTTAGCCTGATGTTTTTTTTTTTTAGAAACATTGCCCTTACTTTAGGATAACATTATCCTGTGTAAGGACATTTTACAAACATAAATTTCACGCGGACAGACACCCAGATGCGAAACAACTATCTTTGGGCCACATAAATAGTTGCTCCGTGTGGGAATCGAACCCACGACCCCCGACGCCGAAGCCAATACCTTGGCAAAAACCGCACGGAGTCATCAAGTGATAATCCCCGCCCATGGACATTTCTATCACCCGTAGGGTTGCAGAGGCGTTGTCACCTATAAATAAAGTGGGCCACGGCTACCTCACTCACCAGACGAAACGCAGAAGTGTAACACTTCTACTTTACGCCGGTCTTCTGTGAGGTCGTGGTACTTACCCGGACGGACCTGTCTATTCGTGCAACACTGAACACCATCGCGTGGCCCCGACACAGTTAAAATTGGAAAATAAAACAAAACATAATTTTAGCTAACACGGCAAATGTTGTTTTGCCATATAAATTATATCTAATGGAATTTGTGGGGTAGAAAAAAATTTGCAGTGGACCACCCTTAGGGGTGTTAAAAGTAGACTCTCAGAACTTTACCTTTAAATCATTATATACATAATTTTTCTGTACGTGTGTATGTCACTGAACTCTTTAGGAGTCTGAACGGATTTTAATGAATTTTTTTTGTGTGCGTTCAGATGGATTCGAGAATGGTTTAGTATTCAAGTAATGGTTTATTATTTATATTATTGTTGGATAACATTATCCTATTTTGTAAGGATGCATTAAATACATAAATTTCACACGGACAAACACCCAGATCGGTAACAATTATTTGTGGATCACACACCCCTACTGTAGGTAGCATAACATTATCATGTGTAAAAACCGTCCACACACAGCTTTTCATACATAAATTTGGAAAAACACCCAGATCCGAAAAAAAAGTATGGGACGCATAAATTGCCTTGTGTGAGAATCGAACCCAAAACCCACCTGGTAATTCATAGATTCTAAAACAGGTTCGGCCATGTTCATGTCCAGGAACAGGATGAGCAGCAGGCGGTGGTACGGCAGCTGCTGGAAGTTATTTCCGGGCTCGTCGTGGTCTTGTAAAAGGCAGCCGGCGATTATGCCCAGGATCTGGTGGCGATAAAAAAAAAACATGTGTGTAACCAAAAACAGCAGACTATGCTTACACAAAAAAATGTGTGTATTTATGTGCACACGTAACAAGTTATAGTTATTAAGTGAATAAAAAAAATCACGTCATTGGCACAGATCAGAGCACAGTCAATCACTGATATTAATTTATTATGATAACATTAACTAAACTTTTACTGTGGTACGCCACAGTTGGCTGCTGCACGAATGGGCAGGTCCGTCCGGGCAAGTACCACATCCTCACAGAAGTGGAGTGAAGTGGGAAGTGTCATACTTCTGCGTTTCGTTCGGTGAGTGAGGTAGCCGGGGCCCACTATACTGAAAGGTGGCAACGCATCAACAACCCAACGTGTGTGGCAAATGTGGGTGGCGGCGGTTATTACTTAACATCAGGCGAACCGCCACCTCGCTTCCAATGATATTATATAGAAATAAGAGGTAGATATGATCACAATCGCACCGAATCTGAGACACTAAAATAACACCAATTGGTTTTATTAAATTAAAAGTCGATAATGAATGAAAGAGATAGCAGACTATCTGTAACACATATGATGTAAAGCGGAACAATTTTTAACGCCTCGCAATATTCATCATATTTGTTACTGCATCATTGACCTTCACACATAAAAAAAAACTGTCCGTGTTACTGGACACAGAGTCCTTGCGTTGTGGGGTTACCTTGTTCAGCAGGTTGAGTTTCGGCGTGGGGTTGCCGGCGTCGGCCGTGTTCTTAATCAGTATGGAGACCAGCTTGATGAAGGAGTCGCACATCGTGTAGTACTTCTCGCGCTTCGGGGGCACCTGGGGCGGGTTGACCCTGTCCTCGTTGAGCAGCTGGTACACGTGCTCTATGCACATCTGCGTCGCAATGCGGAAGAAACGGGTGACCATGTCGTCCGTTTTCAGCAGGCCGTTCATGTTCATTCGGTGCACGTAGATGTTGAAGTTCTGCCCGACCTCGATGTCGGTGAGCGGGCTCATCAGCACGTTCCTCCACTCGCGCAGTAGACCCTCGGTCTTCTCCTGCAGACCTGGTGGGTCGTCGTATTCGCGCGCCTGCAATTTAGCGACGCGCATCAGTACATCACTCCATCAGCTTCGCGTGGTGAAGACGCGGGCTCTATTGCCACGGCCGCGACAAGCGTTATGCAATTTTCAATGTTTCATCTTTTGTACGGAGATTAAGAGGGGATTTGATTAAAAATTTATATAATTTAAATTTATAACAGCAATAGCGACCGTATCTCCAAGCATTGCTTGAAATGCGAAAAATCTACGTAGATAAAAGCCCTTGAGATTTTTTTCGCAGCTGTCAGCCGTTTGGAATAGTGGTTAAAGCGTCTGCGAGTGGGGTTCGATTCCCGCAGTGACGAAAAATTTTCGTCCTTTTTTTCTACGAATTTTAATAATGACAACATTTAACCGGTGAGCACGTGATAAGTCTTAAGCACTTAACATTAACGATGCCATCGATGCAGGGCACCGGGGACCGAACTCAGGTTTCTCGAGTACATAGAATAGAAGGCGAGCGCCGGGACACAGAGCTATCACGGCTTCATATTCACCAAATATACGAAGACTAGGGACCCGCCCCGTCTTCGCACGGGTGCAATGCATTGTAAACTTGTAAACATAAACCTTCTCCCCGAATAACTCTATCTAGTAAAAAAAAAACCGCATCAAGATCCAAAGTTTTAAAGCATACATAGGGACAGACAGACAGCGGGACGACTTTGTTTTACACTATGTAGATATATCGCAAATCGACTCACCCTGACTTGCATCATGCCCGCGTGGATGTGGGCGGTGGGCCCCAAGGGCATCCTCTCGCCGAGGTAAGCGCTCGGGTCCTGGTTGATGCGCAGGGTCTCGATGAGGGCCGCCAGCCCCTCCGGGGGCTGTCTCGAGTGCGTCATGATGCGCACCAACGTCTCCGTGGTGTGGTACAGGTCGGACTCGTTCACGAATATATTGTTCCGGTCGTCGACCAGGTACAGCTGCACCAGTTGCATGGCGAACGCCACCGCCACGTAGTTGTTGCCGTTGTCCATCAGGTGAGCGAGCGCAAGGTCGTACTGGAAAATTGACGCAGCGTTATCTCATATCGCGGCAGTGGCCCTAACGAAGTTCGACTGGGATTTTGTTAGTTTTGCGCAAAGGCTGATATAGTAATTTAGAAAAATCAAATCGTAATTGATATTGAGATGAAAAAATTGCACAATCACTTGTGGCATATTGATGAGTAGGGTAAACAGTAAAATATAATTTATTGTACACCAAGAGGCATTACACAGTATTTATAATAAAAAAACACACGGGTACAACAGGTAGCCTTGTCGCCTAAGCAGCGATATCTTTCAGGCAACCTTAGGGCAGAGAAATTTATTGAAAGAAGAAAGTAGTAAGGGTGTACTAAATAAATATTAAGAAAAGTACATAAAATAATAAAATGAGATATTGAGATGAAACAATTCGACACTCACTTGTGGCATATTGATGAGGTGGTTCCTTATGAGGCAGTCGACAGCTTCGATGTTGTATCTCAGTTCGTCCCTGCACTCGGTGAGGCAGCAGGTGATCTGCTTCGTGGTCCAAACGTGGCCGTAGACCCTCGCGTCCTCCAGCAGTTTGAGGACGCGCAGGTGAATGTCCCTGTACCTTGTCATCATCTCCATGTGTTCCGTGTTGACGCCGGGCTGGACGATGTGGCCGTCGAGCAGGCCCTCAACTGCCTGCGGGTGATAAGTGTAAAAATAAGACACATCGGACAGGAAGTACGGCGGTGTTCGATGCAACGTAATGTGTTCTCACGCACCCTTTGCAGCAGTGTGCAGCCGGAGACGATGTCGCGATTCCTCCTCGCCATTATCAGGCACTCGAGGAGTGTGTGCATGTTGTTCGCCTGCACCGTGAAGGTCTGGGCGGCGAGCGCGTTCGAGAGGAACACCTCGGCGGCTGTGATCAGGCCGCCCATCTCGTCGGTGCCGTACACCTGGGTGGGGTTCATCACTTGGCTGTACGTCATCTGGGGCATCTGCTCTTGCGCCGAGGGCTTCGGCATGAACATGCCAGCGTCGCGCACCGGCATAAAGCCGGGTATGTTGCACGCGAACTCTTCGTACACCGCGATCTGCATGTCGGTGGGGCCGCCCACGCGTAGACGTACCCTCTCCGGTATGTTCTCCGTCTGGTACGTGAGCACCATCGGGTCGAAGTAGCGCCGGTTCTCGAGCCTCGCTTGCTTCCTCATCTCGTAGTCGTTCATCAGCCTCTTATCGAGCTCCGGCAGTGCCTTCTCCACTGCGGTCTTCTGGATGAACGCGCACGCGAGCTCCATGTTGTCGGTCGCTAAAACGGCGGCGGCACTCTCTACTAATTCCTTCTGGAACACAATCTGTCAAATGAATCATTGGTTCCCACCGGAAATAGCCTTGGTTAATAAGATGAATGAAAGACTTACGTCTCTAACATTGTTAGTATCTGTGACACGGAATAGATAATAATAAATGATTATTATGTTATTAGTCGTTAATATAAATACACGATATAGATGCACCTGTGTGTAAACATAGTACATTAGTATTATAAGCAACACAAGAACCATTTTGTCATCTGCCGAAGTAAGAAATTTTGAGGCCCCATCAAAGCTATATATTTTTTATGTACAAAACTACAGGCGGTTAACTTGTTGTTAAGTGATTACCGCTGCCCATAAACCTCTACATCACCCAAGGAGTTGTAGGTGATTTATCAACCTTTAAAAACAAAATCCCCGGGTACTTCCCTCGCCAAGGAAACACAGAATTATAAATAATTCACGCTGGTGATGTTCTGTGCGGTCGTAGGACTTGCTCAGACGAGCGTACCCATTTGTGCAATTAAAGAACCTGTTGCATCCCACACAGTGGAAAATGTAAACATATTTTGACAGGAAATTATTAGGCTCATTCTTCATGTATGCGGTAATATATGGGAAAACAATTTAGTGAAAGAAATAGTTGAATGTAATCCCAGAGTTCAAAAAATACGAAATATTATACTTTCAGCCAGAGCTTGACCCAAAACTAATAACTCGTCGAATCTGGATTTACAGCGATAGCGGCGGCATAGGTGCCTTCGTTGTTACGTTACGCAATAATATTTTTTTCTATTGAAGTATATGTTATTAAAGAATAGAAGCACTGTAACTTCGGAATACTTAGGGGGTCGTTTAACGAGTGGGTCTAGCTAGGGCTCGTACACATAACCACAAACAAACCGTTTTTATCGTACATACGTTCGTTACGTTAATAGTAAAACGGGTTATTTGTCAATTCGGGGTTAAATGTACTTCGAATCGGCAGACGAAAAAATGCAAAGTATTATATAAATTACCAAACTCGAATCAATGACACGCACGGACACACGGTTCCGTAATAAATTTAAAGCCGAAGTGCAAGTTAGTGTTAAGAGTTAGTGACGGACGGTAGAAGGGAATGAACAACCAAAAATACAACTACCTGCTGTGGTGTGTTGGGCATTAGCGCCGTGATGAAGGCCGCCTTCAGGTTGGTGCTGATGGTGCTGACGATCTGCTCGCGGCACGTGATCATCGCCATGCCGGCGGTGAGGTTGCGCATCATGTGGTGAGCGCAGGTCCGCATGCGCACCTCGTCCGGATCGAAGGCGAAGTCCTTGCGGATGATCTGCTCGCAAGTGGTAAGCGCGTACTTTATCGAGCGGTCGACCACCGGGTGGATCCACTCCTGGATCGAGCGCTCGATGGCGGGCTTCACGAACTGCTTGAGATGCGGGTAGTTCTGGAATAGGATTATGTGGGGGTTGAAGCAGATCTTCTGCCCGAAGGCGGACGTGGAGGACACGTTCACGTCGAGGTAGTTGAATCTGGGCTCCGGGATGCCGAGGACGCCCATGAAGGCCGGGTCCGCTAGCAGGGCTCCGCCCAGCGGCGGCGGCGCGATGCTCATGTCGTCGGGCGGCATCATCGGCGGCGGCATCATCTGCATCTGTGGCGGCTGCACTAACGCCTGGTTCACGGGAATTATGTTGGGCGGCGGCAGCGGCGGTTGCTGCTGCTGCTGCTGCTGCTGTTGTTGTTGTTGCTGTTGTTGTTGCTGCTGCTGCTGCTGCTGTTGCTGCTGCTGTTGTTGCTGTTGCTGTTGTTCCTTGTTCAGCTTCGGCTGGGAAAGTTGGAACTCGATCAGCCTATGCTTCTCGGGGTCCTTCAAATATAGGGTGGGCTTCAGTTCCGCTATGTCCAAGCTAAGGTTTTTACAAAGCACTTCTATTTCAAACTTCAAATTCAACTTCAAGTCGGGTTCTTGATGCAGTTCGGCCAGGACGTTCATCAGGGCCATAGTCCATGGATTGGGCGGCTTAAAAACAACGCTTTTAGCGCACGATTCCAGGACTTTGGCAACAAACGGCACGACATAAAGTAACTCTTGCTGGCCTTTGTGGTAAGCTTCAAGTAGCAGTGCTTTGAGGTCAATATCTACATGAAGAATCGGTTGATTGCGAGCCAATGTCAGCATGCCTAACCAATGGCCGAGGTTCTTCAGCAGAGATCGGTCAGAGAAGTTAGCTATGCCTTTGTCGGAGCGCAACAACACTTTGATGTTACGGTACGTCTCTTTTGTCACCATTTTATTGACTTCTCGCGCTTTGAGAACGTCAAGAAAATTGGAGTAGAGAGCGTGAAAGTTAAGCTCAATTGAAGCCCTCTTCATAACTAGATATTGAGAAAGCCACGGGTAATATTCTTCAGTGAGAATTTCTCTTAGTTCTTCGCATTTAGTTTGGAGGTTGAGCTGGCTTAGGTTATTGAAAATGAATGCTGTCTTATCCTGTATGGCCTCTGGCGGGGCGTTGATCTTCTCTTCCCTGTCTGTCGCCGTGAGGAGCGTGTCTATGTTGGTAGCGTTGGCGATGGATGGCCGGCTGCCGATGCCGCCAGTAACGCAGTTGGCAACTTTCGACATGACCGAAATTGGGTTCGGAGCGCCGACAACGGTCCTGTGACGAAAAATCAACATTAGAACGGATACGCCTGTCGCCTTGGCCGCACAGAGCATGAGTAAAAAAAAGACATAGATGTTTATATAAAAAAAAAAAACGACTAAAATTCTATGAATCCAAAAAGACTAATGGAAAATTATAAAACTCTAAGGTAAAATAATATAGAAACAAGAAAAATTACGAGTAACTTGTAAAAAAAAAAAAAAAACAAAGGTTTGCGAAATAAATGTTATCTACGGTACGACAACAGACACGCATGCGGATTATCCAAAGTGAAGAACATACTTTATATCCAAATATTCGCGTTGCTAGTGATCTGGAGAACAGAATTCGTTAAACATGTAGAAGATGGTTAAACAAGTGGAAGGTGTTTAATCAACTGTACCTGTACGGTGCCGATACTGTTACGACTGCGTTCTGGCTCAGCATGGCGGCTAGGCTCGCCGGCAATACAGCGCCCTGCGGCTTTGTGGGCGGCTCTTGACTCTGCAGCCCATATTCGATGTACTCAATTAGATGGGGAGGGAACTCGCTAAAATGTGGTATTGCCCGAACGTGCTCGCAGTACTTGTGATAGTCCTTCAAGCGCGACTTGAATCTATCTAGAGCGGCAATACCGAAGTAGTACATCTTAGAGCCCTCCGGTTTCCGAAGAGCGTCGAGAACAAATCGCAGTGCTAGACCTAGGGAAACGTAACTAGGAACAAGGCCCTTCTCGATTATGCCACCGAAAAGTTGGGCGGTTATGTGCAGCTCTTTGTCTGGATACTGTGGGAAGAATTTGTATTCCTCAAAGAGATTTCTGAGCATGCACGAGAATACCTCTCTTTCCCTCTTGTTCGGGGAATCTTGGAACCTTTTCAGCATGTCAAGCACCTCGTCTATTGACAGGGTGGGGTGCGGTGGATGGTTGTAAATGCGCTGGAAGTAACCGTTGGCTTCGTCTTCGATTTCCTTCGAGACGTTGTGCATTATTTCCGGAAAATGTATAGGGTCCGGTAAGCGGGGCTTGTCCATAGTTGGTACCTGCGCCATTCGCAACGCGCCCATGTTGACGAGATTGGGGTTGTGCTGAAGGGACATCATGGGGAACGGGCTGTTCGGCCCAGGGCCCATCAATCGGGATGGGGAGCCCGGGGCGGTGATCAGCGGCCCTAGTGTTCCCGGCATTGCGAACGCAGTGTTCGCGGGTGCGCCTAGCGTCATGTTCGCGACGTTCGGAGTCAAACTGGCGATCGAATCGACGTGCGGAGTGAAAATCTGCCCACCCAAACCGGCCGGGTTGAATGGGGTTTCGATGACTCTCGTGTGTGGGCGAATGATGCCCGTAATCGTTTGTCTCGTCTTGCTGATGAGCAATGTCTGACAGTTCGTTATGACGTTATATATCGCTTCCTGCAGCTCCTGCATGACATTTGGTATGCACAGTTGCAGACACGTCAGCATTGTGGCTATAGTTTCGTGGGGTAGCTGAGCGGCTTTCGGTAGTTGCTCCTCGGGTACTTTTCCAATCATCTGTGGACATCTCCTCTGTAAGAACTTCACCATGGCGGAGACGAATGTTTCGCCGTGGTCCCTTATTTTGTCGGTCAACCATTTGTCCAGCTTGAGATATTCCCTACGCGAGGCAAGGCATGCCAAGTCGATTACGAAAGGAAAAGACTGCACGTTCAGGAGCGACGACAGGGCTTTGAGATCTTGAGCCACATCTAATATCCTTGACAATTTGGACTGGTCGCTGTCACCTCGTATGTACCATTCCGCCATCGCATGCATAACAATCGGTTTTATGTTGGGGTTCTGCGTGTGCCATGCATGCTGCAATATGATACCGGAGTTGGGGTGGTTGCCCAAGAATATAGGTATCAGTGTCGACAGCAGTTCTTGCCTAAACATGGTTATTGGCGCGCTAATTTGCAACAGGGCAAGCATCAAAATGTCGGGGCAATGTTGCAGCGGGAACTTGAACAGCTCATGGACTTGCATGTAGTATCCACGCTCAGAAGCATACAACAACAGCTCTACCAAATACAGGCACCGCCACGTTGCTATCTCCTTGTTGTCAGTTTCGGGCGGTGACTTTAGAATATCAATAGACACAGGATGGAAAGGATAATCGGCAATGCTAAATACATCGGGGAATTTTAGAATATTAGAGATCAAACTCATCTGTCCTTCTAAATTGGTCCACCTGCGACACAAATACTCCACAGGGAAAATATTAGACGGGTACCCCGCGCTTTGGAGGCCCAGGCGTAAAATTGTGAACAGCAAGCTCAGCCCCTGTCGGTCAGTGACAATGAATTCTGGATGATCCAGTTGCAAAATGACTTCTTTCCAGTTTAAATTGGACGCCAGCTCTTTGAGGGTCTGCACAAACACCTCGGCATTCCACGATTCGCCATGTCCGTGCGGTATCGCATCCTTTTTCACCTCATGGTTCATCCAGAAGTTACCGGGTGTTTGTATTTGTGGTCCTTCCGGTAAGGTCACATGGTAGCGCACCATCATGGAAATAATCCGGGCCACATCTATAGCGGTGGGCTCCCGCGCGCCAAAGTTCAACATGTTGTTCTTGCAATCCTCAACGGAGGTCGTGAAATTGTAACCGATGTCTCGGATGATTTCCGCAAGTGAATTGTCCATCATTGCGGCTGCCATGTCGTCAGCTGTGCTCATTTCCAGCAGTGGTGTCTGTGTATCGTCGGGATACAGCAATGGAGCTAGAACTATTGGAACCACCTCACGAGGAAAGTCGACACGTAAACGTTTCAGAAATAAGTCCCTCGTCACTGGTGCTAAGCGAAAATTCTCGTACGAGAGACTAGTAAGCAGAGTTTGCAAAACTTCAGGGCTGCATTCCTGAAGGCCCGCGCGCTCCACTTGATGTCCACGCTCTGCAAATACAATTGGGTAATTAAATAAACTGTTATATTGGAATAATTTTTATAATGTGACACATAAAAAAATATCCATCCAAATATCTCTCTTGTTTGGCCTAGTGAAACTTCGTAACATACCTGCGTCCAAATAACACTGTACAAGATCCAAAAATCTTTTCTTCAAATGCTGTTTAGCTACACATATGATTTCAGGCTTCGAGGAGTGCCGTCTCAGCACTAATGAGAATGTAACATCTTCGGCTGTTGTCAACTTCAGCAATCTTGAAAGGCGATTGAGTAATGTGTTAGATGGTTTCAATAACTGAAAAAAAAACAACTCAGGGTCCGGATTGTTGTTTGCACACTTGGGCCGTAATTGCACAGAAAGTAGCATGCAGAAGGAACAGAAGTGCTTTGGTGCTCACACACGCTAACATAATTTCAAATGGAATGTTATAACACGACACCTTCCATGCGTATGTCAATGCAACTACGGCCTAAATGCGGGTCAGGGTATCAGCAAATGGATGTGAAATTTACAACGAACAAGTCAACCATACCTGATAGAGATGGTTCACAATTTCATGCACTATTTGTGTACATGAAGATATAGAGACATAAATGAAATTGCCAATTTAATTTAAAGTCATTTGGGGATCAATTGATGCACGCTAATTTGTCATAATCTCACTGACAAAGTAAAAGCATTATATCAACAAAAGGATTTGATAAACAGTACATTGACGGATAAAAACTAGTACCTACATAGTATTACGATGTCTGACGATTCTATGAAAATCTCCGTGGCCTCCATGGCCAGCTGCGGTCATAAAATATATCTCACAAAAACATATCATAACCAAGTAATTACAAAATACATATATAACTACTTAAATGGGAGAACATAAATGTTCAAATAAATAAATATCTAACATCCTTAGAAAAGAAAGTACTCAAAAAGTAAGAAATACTAATAATGAATGATATGGGCATTAAGAAGAATAGATTTCTTGGGCCCACCAAAAAACAAAATAGACAATAATTAGATAAGTGATCTGTAAACTAGCTCACTCAGCTCAGTGTTCATATGAATAAGACAAATATGACATGATGAAATTGGAATGAACATCAAAGGTGTGAATGCACAATAAAAGTATAAGGTGATGTATTATGGAGACTGGATAAATAGGGCTGAAGTACTAGGCATGATTCTACAGAAAACCTTCATACCTGTTAATGATTATGTATACAGAAACAGTGCTTTTTAAATTATCAACAAATTCACTGTATTTCAATCTCGTCATATGCAGGACTTAGAAATTGCAGGAGGTGACAAAATAAAACAAAAATGTTAAAAAAGTCAAATTAATATTACCAAGCATCAAGTACATAATACAAAAATACAGTAAAAGTATTAATTAATGTTGTCCAAACACTGATTTAATCACAACATACATTTAGTATGAAAAAAATGATAAACCTTTCATGTCTATTTACTGTTAGAGGAGGCAAGTTATTTTGAAGATATAATCGCAAAGAGAAATTGGGCCCATTCATTAATTCACTTAATTTAAAAGCAATTTTACAATAAAAAAATTTCCAAGTTTATTATGTATATCATCTTCTTTACTTTCATATAGATTTAAGGTAGAACTTCTCACATACCTTGATCACATTAATAATTTTTAATCCTCTAATAAATAAAACAGAAAAATAAGATGTCTTAGGATTTCCATTTTGTTTAGAAACACAGAACCCAGTTGAAGAGTCACTTACCTTCTGTAGAGAACGATTAGGAAAATCGACCGCCCGACAAACAACAGTTGACTTTGCTGGGTGGTTCAGCAGAGAAGCCAGATGCTGTGCAAGCAGTGAAGCATGGACACTGCTAACTGATGACCCTGAGCGATCAGAGTCCCAAGAAGCTTTTGCTGCCTCGGTGAGTAAACATCTCAGCAACTGATTTTCTGCTTCCAAGCCATATAGACTGACAATCTGGTAGAATAAAAATTAAGATATTTAAGATATATTTTGCAATTTCATATATGAACACTATACAACTTATCTAAATTCCATGTAAGTTAGACAAAATTCTACAACATTTTGTTACACATTTATGTTATAAAACAACACTGTCTTAATAAAGATTAAAAAGAAAACACTATCATAATTATGATAAACACAATAAATACATCTGCAAATATGTACTTGCATATGTTATTGTTGCTTTATAAGAGCTGAACTCTGACCATTCATTAAAAATACAAATATATCAATATTTGAATTTACATCTAGATATATATCTATTCTTATGAAGACTATTATTGTTGTATTTGTTAGATTCAATTACAATGAAACACAAAACATATGTTGACTCCAATGCTCATTTTATAAACAGACGACACACACTAATTATTCTGCATTTACCCACACTATTAAAACATTACAGTTCCTTCACCAAGACTTTAAAAATAATAAAGATTATTCATGCTAAATACATCAAACAAACTAATTAACATGAAAGTAACAAAATACATTTAACATTTGTACTTAGGGCTAAGATTCGCGTAGAAACATACAGATGCAAGATGCAGATTTATATTCATAGTAATATAAAAATCTTATGTATAAACAGTAAAAATATTTGTTCCCAAAAAGCAACAAAAAGGAAACAGATCAATAATGCAAGTTGACTCTGATTCAAAATTTTTATTTAAATTATGAAAAATGTTTTATTTGAATTATGTAAAAATTGCAAATCACTCAATTAGGGATTAGGTGTAAGGTCTATTAAACTTTATTTTTATTACATATTTCATTTAAAATTAATATCACAATTAATGGACATCATATATCAAAAAAGTAATTGGTAACACTAGGCTTTTGTTGTTTAAGTGTTACGATTGTTGGCAAAACCATAAAAAGGAAAAAGTATGAAAAAGTAATTACAGTCCCTTAAAGAGGGGTGGGGGATGTAAAATGGTGTATTACAGGTGAAAAGCATAGTTTTTCGAAATAATGTTTTGAGACACTGTTTGCATTGCCAGCAAACCCTTTATGACATTTAATGCATCATAATAGTGTTTCAAGCTTCTGTGGATAGCTAGTGTAGATTCCAATGTCGCCTTGAGCCAAGCCTCGGCCTCATGTGTCTGCCAATAATAAAATGTGGAACAAATGTACCATTTTACAACTAGCCCCAAAATTTATACTTTACCCAATCAGGTACAGTGGCAGATAATGGTTTAGTACAAAAATCATACATTTTATAAATTAATCATAATTATTTTAATAAAACATTAATGTTTTTGGACATTGGTGTTTCATAATTTTTTAGATTACGCCAACTACTTTTTCACTAAAGTATGTTTCAAAAGTATTTCTTTGTTTAATATATTTTTTACAATATAGATACACATAAAAAAATGAATAAATCCCCTTTAGATTATATATTTCAATTTAAATAAAAGTGTGTTTATTTGTCTTTTTTAATATTTAATATGAATAAGCCACACTTAAACAATTTTTTTGGAGAAATGTTTTTACAAAAACCAAAAACTTTTAATTTCCATATACATAATATTTATAATATAGTCTTGTCTTAAAGGAAGTTACACTTTCAGTTAAAATATTGCTTAAAGATTCATCCTATATAACACCTTTGGAAAAACTAGCTTACTTATGTGTTGGATGAGCCCTAATCTAATATAGTCATGTATGAGATTATGTTTGCACAAATGATAGCTCGAATAAGGGACTATGAAGTTAACCACTGTCAAGTGTGTTAAGGATTGGTGAGAATCAACCCTCAACTAAGGGTAAGTTCTAGTTCTAAAACCTCTCGTTTTTATTCCTTCTTAGACCATTAAATAAAGATGTTACAGAGACAACATCTATTAGTGGTTGCGATTCAATTGGGTTTGAAAGTACTGTTTTTTATATCTTTAAAATAATTAGGTAATGCCAGGATTCTGGAGTTTCTATGTATTTTGGTGCTTCAAAGTCGATTGAAATATCTTTATTCAATATAGAAGCATTACACCTACTTATTGATTGTCAAAACACTATCACGGGTTCAGAAAAGGAAAGCACTGACCTTAACTGGCGAAAGAAGCTCAGTGGGACATTTTTTTACCATTATGTCCATTTTTATGACAATGAAACATTTTTATAATGTATTAAAGTCCACTTGAAAGAGCCTGGAGGGATCAATTCATTTCTAGGGTGTGTTATCATTTGAATACTCACTAATATTATAATAGCCTTTACCACACAAATGTTCCTTTACAAATTTTTGAATATAGCAAATGAGACATTGTTTTCTGGGATTTTGTTGAAAAGAATTACTTATTCTATGCAGTATGAGTAGAAACAATGTTTTTTCTTTTAAAAAAAAATCGATTCTTTCATAAAGAAATAAGTATTATCGGGCACATTTTTATACAAAATTCTCCAGTTAAAACTAACCAATGCTTGTACTATGGGTACTAGAAAACTGATAAAGTATGCTTATCAGTTTTCACAACATATTTTTCTTTTGTAAATAAATACATATTGTACATATATAAACACCCAGACAAAGGAAAAACATTATGTTCATCACGCAGTATTTTTCCAGTGGTGGGTTCACCACACCCTGTGGCGCAAGAGGCAGGTTTACTACTCACCATACCAATCTTGGCACCATCATTTACCAATATATGCTCAGGTTTTTATATGGATGAAACTATTTTGATTGACATGGAATTTTTGAGGTGAATTAGAAACGGTGTCAGACATAATAGCACCAACATCATCCTTCTCTTATCACAGTTACATAGTGTACTAAATTTGCATAACAATGGTAATAAGGGTACTGGCTAGGTTTTGTTTATACAAAAACACAGGATTATCCCTGTGCCTACTTGATTTCAACTCTGTCAGAAGTCACCCAGATTCTACTTGTTTTAGTATAATAGTATTTTTTGAAAGTTGGTTAATGGCATCAGAAGGTTTAATATTAAATATTTGCAAATAGCCATGAACTTTTATTAAGTATTTAAATATTTTAGTAACTCTAGTAATAGTCTGCAGTTTCTCTGATTGGAGACTGGATTGGTTTACTCCCATTGGATATTAAGATGTTATTGTCTAGAAATAAATAATACTAATTAGGCTAATAATAATTAGACTGAAAGGGCACTTCAGGGTTTTTTGATTAAATCCAATATTTAATATGTATTACAAATGTCATATGAAACATAAAATATTACATTCGCTTTGGTCAAGATAAATAAATGGCTTCAAAATGATGTTACCAATTTTGACTTGCAGCTAAATCAATGACATTTATACAATGAATATTACAGTAAACTGTTACTTGCCAAAAGGATTTAGCAACCTTTGGGCAAATGCCATAGAACACTAAATTTTTAAAGCAATATTTAAATATGCTTACTGGGTTTAAAGTGAAAAGTCTTACTAAAAAGGATATATTTTTAAAAGCAAAGAAGTGTCATTCTTGTAACAATATTAAGAATGCGAAGTTGTACTGATGCTTCATAAACAAATTACATTATGTATACAGCATGGCGTTACAACCACGATAATAAATGAACACACGTCTAATGCTACTTGGCAATAATCATAAAAAAATATAAAGGTTAAAAAATCCTTAAAAACAAACTTATTAAGTAAAAAAGAAACAAAATTTGTAACATCCTATACAACTACAACTGACTGATTCGTACTTTCAGAGACTTTTTCATTTGTTGCCACAGTGTCGCATTACAAGTATCTCCTAACAATGTATTTTATCTCTTTTAAATTCAACCCATTCATATGCTTTGTGACCTTTACAAATGAAATTGAAGTTTTATATGTAAAGGAACACCTTTTTTTAAAATTGTTTGGTTTGGAAAATTTTTAATTAATAACTCGGTAAATATACATATTTAAAGAATGTAAATATTTAATACAATTTTAAAAATTAATACTCTATGTGTGTGTTCATTTATTGTCACAGTCATAATGCCACACTGTATACACAACACCTAACACTATAATTTCAACCAATTATCACATTACATTTTATTAATCATAATTTAAGACTGATCTTTTATTTGTAACAATGAAGCCTACCTTAATTTAATTTCGCATTGTCATACATACATACTTCCAACTTCAACCTCCCTTACAATCATATTGGGTACTTGGGAACTAAGCAATATTTTATGGATCTAAAGAGACATGCAGAGATCTTAAAAAGTGACAAATCATATGTATACATGAACAAATCATTTGTATTATGTGATAGTTATTTAACTGCTAAAATGATTATTTTTAGCAGAAAGGATCCCACAATTCACAATAACAAAAGAAATTACACCCTATTTATTTCTATTATAGCCTATATTAATTTGTTCAATTTAAAAAAAGTAAGTACGTACTGACCTTAATAAACCTTAGTAATCAATGCTTTCGCCATGAGCAACGGTATTTGAAAAATTTTACCTATGTAGAAGTGTTTGCACATTTATTAGTGCTGAAATAGCATTCATGATCGGCATATTGAAATAAGAAATGTTGCAAAACAAAAAAATAAATAAGTGTAAGCTTAAATTGACGCACCGTCGACGAGTTGAAATAGATTTAACTTAGCACCTGCAATAATGTGTCACGGTTTTCATATAGTTCAAGAGTAGTTTGAACAAATAAAAAGATGCAAATAAACAATAAAAACAATGAATTAAAAATAAGGAATTGCTTGAAACAGTGTTCATTTATTTAAATGCGCGTGGCGAACTCGCAGTCGCAGACAGTTCACAATATGGCGACAGTCGAAAATCCTCGGTCAACAACGCAAAAATCATTCACATCTCACCTGAGACAACTCTTGATTCGTCTGCTTAAAGTTCTTCTTTGTTAAATTTATAACGAGATAATTGATTTGCGATAAGCTAAACGTTAAAGGGTCCAGGTTCATAGTTCCATTAATGCAAATCCGAAAGCTTCAAACACGTTTGAAGCTTTCTTGATTTTCGACGGATTAATACAGTAAACGTGTGTTCGTTCAAAGTTTTTTTGTGGAATAACATTAAGCCTAAGGTCAACATCACCAACAATATTGTTCACTTCATCAAAACCAACATAATTTTAGCACACCACTGAAATTATTTCTAGAATGGAACAAATCGGCACACGATGACGAAGGCAATCGCGTCGCTGCTCGTACCAATAGCCAAACCAAAATCGCTCATCTGCTCAACTCGGACTGACAAAGCTACCAAAATGACGATTAAAATAATGTTGGTAGTAAAAAATCGATATCAAGATAGTAATATCTATGAATACGATAAACAACTCTATGAACACGAACCTATTCTTATATAGGTAATCTCTTTAAAGCTTAATCTACGTTCTTTTCAATAACAGAATTTATAACAAACAAATATATCTTAACAGATAAAGAAAATATATTGAAGTTATATTTCTTTTAGCGCGTTTGGAAAAAAAAATGACAGTAAAATTTTTACGATATGCGTGCACAATGCGATATGATGAACGATGAAGTTGGTTGCCAAACAACTAATAATGGTTTATATAGTCAGAGAGTGTCGGTTTTTGGAGATAAACCTTCTTTTTTTGGCGCGTTTGGAAATAATAAAAAGACTGGAAAAGGATATTAATAACTAGTGACCCGCCCCGGCTTCGCAATGTATAATACATAAATGCAATGTATTAATTTAATAAATCCAATGTATTATATATAATTATAAACCTTCCGCGAGAATCACTCTATCTAATAAAAAAAAACACATCAAGATCCGTTGCGTAGTTTTAAAGATTTAAGCATATATAGGGACAGGCAACGGGACGATTTTATTTTATACTATGTAGTGTCAAAAATAACAAAATTATGAAAGCGCTATCTATATTCTTTATTGAGAAGGGTAATGGGCGAATATGATGGAGAATATGCTGCAATCTATAATAAGCGGTTTAGCGGGTAGCTTTAAAGTTGGGACTTTTGTGTTACAGTGATGCGCGCCTTTGTTCAGGTAAAACATGCTTTTTCAAAGTCAAAATTTCTTTATTCAACATAGGCTTATTTTAAGCTCTTATGACGCTCTTGACGTTCAGTTAAAAACTACCACCGGTTCACTAAACTAGACCTGCAAGAGAAGAACCGGAAAGAAACTCTGCAGTCATATATACAGCGTGTTGTTACCATCGCGACAATAAATGAACACACGTCTAATGCTGCTTGCCAATAATCATAACAAATATTAACGTTAAAAAAATCCATTATTAAAAAACATATTTTTCAAATAAACTGACTGATTCATACATTCCGAGACTTTTTCATTCGTTGCCACAGCGTTGCATTACAAGCCTCTCCTTCTAACAGTATGTTTTGTCTCTTTTAAATTCATTCAAGCCATTCATATGCTTTGTGACCTTTACAAATGAAATTTACGTTACAGTTTTTTACGTAAGGGTATTCTAAAATTGAAGTTATTTACATTTAATTGTTTGTGGATTTCACCTATTCTATTACCACGGCTCCGTCTTTTTTTTAAAAAGGTGTATGTTATTTAGAAAGAAAGAAAGAAAGAAACATTTATTTGGTACATAATAAAAAAAAAAATACAATAGATGCTAAAAAACTAAATACCAAAATGGTCACCACTCAGCTTCATATTACGAAGTTGACAACCTTCGTGAATGCTGGTTTTCAGTGGATCCTTGGGACCTATTAATTAATTAATAAGGAACCTATTTCGTACATACATGATATTCTCAATTATGTATAGCGACGGGAGCGTTAAGATGTTTATATGTTTAAAAATATGCCGAAGGGACTCACGTGGACCCAGGCCATAGACAGCCCGTATCGTTTGCTTTTGCAATACAAATATCGTGTCTAAACCGGATGCAGAACCCCAAACTAAGACATACAGATACTGGGAAATGCTGTTGAATCCTCAAGAGGTAGGATGATGTCATCAATAACAATTCCTGGTTTGTTTTAGTGGCGTTCAAAAGTAAATTATTGGTCGTAAACCCGCCCGACACGACACTTAGTATTTCATTTGGTTGCTCTAATGTAACATTTATTTATTTTATTTATTTATTTAAGCTTCATTGTTAAACCTTAAGCTAAAGGCTACAATGGGCGGACTTACTGCCTAATGGCATTCTCTACCAGTCAACCCTTGTCATGGTGAAAAGTAGATGGTAGGTGCTAAATATTCCTATTAACCTTAAACTTTCATTTAATCTTTCCTATCAACCTTAAACAACAGTGAAATGTCATTCGCAAACAAAATGATTTGAGACCTTTTATCTACCACACATGGCAAATCTTTTATGTAGACTAAAAACAGAAATGGGCTCAGGGTCGATCCCTGAGGAACACCCATTTGTACTATTGACCCCGATGACAGTGTACCATTTATAGTTACTTTTTGTTCCCTATTGCTAAGATATGATAAAACAAAATCAATGGCGGATTTTCGAATACCATTAAAGCAGTAACCTCCGTTAACTAAATTTATGATTTACGACTGTCATTCCCCTACGTGTAATGTCTAACACTTGACATTGGCGAATTGTGACAACTCACAAAGCAAGCCATTATTAAAAACAAGAACAAGTGTTGCATTTTAGACCTTCACTTTCCTCATTAAAGTTAAAATATTTATAATCTGTATAAAAATTACTAAAACTATATTTTTGTTATCTGTGGGTTAGGCAGTCTGTGGTTAACGCGAATAAAGGAACGGTGGTCGTAAAAATATTAAGTTTTATTTTATCCAAAAATATCTCAAATTAAAGGTGCGATCATCAAATTTTATCCCAACCTAACGGCAGAGGCGGCGCTGCGAAAGAGAAAACGGGATATCTGGCGACCGTGAGTAGGAAAAATGGACCACAAGAAAAAATTGCGCCGTGCCACGCGTTCACAGTTTACCAAAATTGCCGGTCAGCTAAACCAAGCCGAAGGCAATGATCGCGAGACATATTTAAAATTATTAGCAGAGGTCTACGCAAAATTACAAAGCTTAGATAGAGAAATTGAAGATCTAATGGGCGAATGTTCGGAAGCGGAATTGGAAAAAGAGCTCGATGAGGTGATGGCGTATCACAAAAGATTCATCAGCATCGAAGCCATAGAAGTAAATAAATGTTCAATTTTGAAAGAAAATATAAGAAAGTATAAATTGCCTCCCCTAGAAACCAAAAAATTTGATGGACAAGTTAAAAATTGGCTTCCATTTTGGGGACAGTTTCAAAAGATTGATGAGGATAAATCCTTAGACGACTCGGATAAGTTCCAGTATCTAATTCAAGCTATGACACCAGGCACCGAGGTACGACAATTTATTGAATCTTATCCCGCAACAACAAAAAGTTACCACGAAGCACTCGCTGACTTAAAACAAAGGTATGCTCGAGATGATTTATTAATTCAAGTATATGTACGAGAACTTCTCAGTATGATTTTAAACAAAAACAACCAATCATTGACTCAGATTTATGACCACCTAAGCTCACATTTACGAGCATTAGAAACACTAGGAGTTACTAAACAAGGTTATGCGTCATTCTTATTGCCAATGGTGGAGTCGACCTTGTCAATGGAAATACTCAGAATATGGGAGCGAGTGAGACCACCATTTGGAGATGAACTTTCAGCACTATTAGAATTTTTAAAGAGAGAGGTTGAAAGTGACCAGAGAATAAAATTAACAACAGGCTTCAAGCAAGAAGAAAACTTACAAATAGAAAATAAAGAAATTACAGCAGCTGCGTTGGTGGACAGAGTAAGGCCCACTATCAAGAAAACAAGGTGTTTATGGTGTGACAAAGAGCATGCAAGTACAGAATGTTACAAACTATATAAATTAAATTTAGATGAGCGTAAGGCACTTATAAAGAAGAAGAATGCTTGCATGTTATGTTTAAAAATTGGACATCATGCCAAGGTTTGTAAAACATTTGTCCAGTGCTTCATTTGTAAACAAAAACATTCAGTTACGCTTTGCCCCTGCAAGAAAGAATCAGAAAAAATACATGGGGAGAAATCAGAAACTCAAACAACTAGCAACTTTTCATCACCGGGAAGCAATGTGACACTTCTACAGACCCTGATGGTTAAAATAGTCAATGGTGACAAGGAGGTGACAGTTCGTGCTCTTATTGATAATGGTGCTCAAAGGTCATATTTAAAAAGAGATGTGGCACAAAAATTAGGCTTAAAAAGTTCAGGTAAAGAAGTGCTCACACACAACTTATTCAGCGGAGTCCAGGTAAAATCTAGTGAACACAATATCTATAACATTTGTATTCAAAATATATGTAATCAATCATTTGAGCTAAATGTGAATGCATTAGAACAATCAGTAATTTGTAACAATCTGCCTAGTTATAGTAAAGATTTTGAGTATGATATGATTATGCAAAAACATGGTATTGTGTTGACAGATACACACAAAGGTAATGACATATCATTGTTAATTGGGGCAGATTATTCAGGTTTCATAATGACCAACATCATGATAAAGTTAAAAGAAGGGTTATTTGCGATTAAGACTAAATTAGGGTGGGTGTTACAAGGAAAATTAAATAAAACACAAACCGACACTACTAATATTTTGTACTGTTCATCAGAAATTACAGATTTTTGGTCACTGGAGTTGCTCGGCATCAAAGATCCTGTGGGGAATAAGAATAGGGAGCAAACAGAAGCTGAAGCTGTCATCTTATTTGAAGAAACCATCACAGTCAACAGCGAGGGACGATATGAAGTGGCACTACCCTTCAAGGTAGGCCATGAAGAATTGCAGAGCAACCGTGGCCTGGCTGAAAAGAGATTGGTATCTAGTACCAAGCTTTTGAAGTCTGAAGGTAAATTCCATGAATATGATAATATAATAAGTAGTTGGGAAAAAGAAGGCATAGTTGAAAAGGTACCTATAGAAGAAATAAATCAGACTTCACACTATTTACCACACAGGGGGGTGGTTAAAAATTCAAGTTTAACTACCAAACTACGTCCTGTGTATGATGCTTCAGCATGTGATAAAAATGGTAGGTCTCTAAATTCCTTCCTAAACAAAGGTGTGAATTATTTAGATAAGATACCTCACATATTAACCGGTTTTCGAAAAGGGGCAATTGGTGTGTCTGCTGACATTGCTAAGGCATTTCTACAGGTATCTATAAAACCAACAAATAGGGACTTCCTCAGATTTCTTTGGTGGAATGATGAGTATCAATCTAAACTGAAAGAGTACAGGCACTGTAGAGTAGTATTTGGGTTAACCTCAAGCCCATTTCTGCTATCTGCGACCATATCTCATCACTTAAATCATGTCACAGGTAAAGAAGAGAAAACAAGTAAATTGTTAGCAAAGTCATTTTATGTTGATAATTGCATCACAAGCCTGGATTCAAAAGAAGAAACAATTAAGTTTATGTCAGAAGCTAAAAATGTGATGAGTCGGGCAAAGTTCGATTTAAGACAATGGGTAACTTCATTGAAAGAAATTAATGAGACAGGAAACAAAGTAATATCAGTTCTTGGACTGTTATGGGACACAAAGACGGATAAACTTTGGTGTAATCTAAACAATCTTCCTGCTAGAATTGATAAAATAACCAAAAAGGAATTAATGTCTATTATCCAAAGGATATTTGATCCTATAGGTTTCACAAGCCCAGCAACTCTGACACCTAGATTACTGATGCAAGAGACATGGCGACGTGCCCTCGGGTGGGATGAAGTACTTCCTGATGACCTGATGGGAGAATTTGATAAATGGTTTCAACACATTTCATGCTTAGAGCAATGTAGGATCCCACGATGTTTGACTGAAAACTTCATGGCAAAATGTAAACTAAGTCTTCATATGTTTTGTGATGCTAGCAAAAATGCCTATGGCACATGTGTATTGCTGCGATCTGAAGCAGATAGTAAAGTGAGTGTTCAGATGTTTTCAGCCAAATCAAGAGTCGCCCCACCTGAAAAAGCATCAATACCTAGACTTGAGTTAATGGCTGCACTCATAGGTTCTAGATTATTAAATGAAGCTAAGAAAAGTCTGGGTATAGAAGGAATACAGGAATATTGCTGGACAGACTCAAGTGTAGCATTTTATTGGATAACAAGGAATCTACCGTGGAATGTATTTGTCTCTAACAGAGTCAAAGAAATAAGAGAAAATTGTAATCCATCCAATTGGCGTCACATTCCAGGCACTCTGAATTGGGCTGATGTGGCATCGAGAGGCTGCAATGCAGAACAACTACACTCTCTTCGCTGGTGGGAAGGGCCTGCATGGCTAAGACTCAGTCAAGAAGAATGGCCAAAATCTCCTGTTGATGTTGAAAATACAGAAGCACACAAAGAGCTACGGAAAGCTAAAACAGCATGCAATGCCAGTATTACATGCACAAGAGATGGCCTGGAAAGGTTATACTACTTTTCAAAATATACAAAAATAGTAAGAATGATGGCATGGATACTTAGATTCAAAAATAATACATTACATAAAGAATCAAAGAAAAGAGGAGAAATATCTGTTGAAGAATATGAAGAAGCAGAAAGGAAAATTATGAAGCTTATACAAATCAGTGAAGAGGAATATATAACAGAACAGAAAAGAACTTTGAATACTTACAAAGATGAGGATGGTCTGACGAGAATCAAAACAAAGCTCTTATTCTCAGATTTCCAGGAATGCACCAAGTTCCCAATACTACTTCCAGCAAAAAATATTATTGTTAGAAGACTGGTGGAACAAAGACATATAGAGCTAAAGCATGTAGGTGCAAATCAACTGACAGCAGACATTAGAACAAGATTTTGGATAATTGGTATTAGACGTTTAACAAAGTCTGTAATAGCTGCTTGTACAATATGTACCAGATTCAGAGCCAAGAAAGCACAAGCACCCGCTGCACCATTACCAAATGAAAGAATAATGTGCACAGCTCCCTTTCAAGTAAGTGGTGTGGACATGGCTGGACCATTAATTCTTAGAAATGGAGAGAAATGTTGGGTGGTATTGTTCACTTGTGCAGTTTATCGCTGTGTACATCTGGAATTGAGTAAGTCTCTTTCGACTGATACATTTATGCTTGCCTTGAGAAGATTTATAGCTAGGAGAGGAAGGATTCAGCAGATAATAAGTGACAATGGAACTAATTTTCATGGGACAAAGAATAGACTATCAGAGATTGATTGGGAAGAAGTACAAAAACGTTCAAGCATTGATCGTATCAAGTGGAAAATGAATGCTCCAACCGCTGCATGGTGGGGTGGATTTTTTGAGCGTCTCATACGTATAATGAAAGAGTTGTTAAGAAGGATCCTTGGACAGTCACGAATAAATTATGATGAAATGGAAACCATTCTATGTGAATGTGAAGCAGTCATGAATCAACGACCCCTCACATATATTCAAGATGATAGAAACAATTTGCTAGAACCACTGACACCAGCATGTTTCATACAATCTATTCCACATAGTGTTGTGACTGATCTGGATATGGCAGATGCTAAAACATTAAATCTACGACTAAATTACTTGTTGAAACTCAAAGATGACTTCAAACAGCGTTTTAAAATGGAATATTTGACAGCATTAGTTCAAAGAGGCAAAGATAAGGCAACAAATTTAAATGTTGGAGATGTTGTCTTAATTGAAACAGAAGAGAAACGTGTGAAGTGGCCATTGGGCATCATAGAAGAAATTTATGCTGGTAATGATGGGATAGGAAGAACAGCAAAGGTCAAAACTGCAAGTGGTTCAAAGATACGGCCCTTCCAGAGACTGTTTCCTTTGGAGGTAAGCAATACTCTACAATGTAGTAACCATAAATATTCTGATGACTCTCCCTGTGTCGAGAAGCAAGTTGTGAAAGAAGGAGACAAACGGGAAGATGATCCAATTCATAAGAATATCAATGATAAGACATTAACAAAGAGAACTCGGTGTGGAAGAGTTGTTCGAATGCCAAGTAGGTACAACCTGTAACTCTGTATGTATCTAAATTTTTTCTGTTCACAGGGTTCAATGATGTCGAGCAACTCCATACTTTTTTTTTTTTCCTTTGTATTTCTTTTTGTAAAATAGAATGTGGAAAAATATAATTGTTAAGGTTAGTTATTCTTAGTAACACAATATTTGTTGGAATTAATGTTTTCTTAAAATAATATATTTTGCTATTCACAACATTTGTATACCCATGAATAAACTAATTGTATTACCGTTTTTGCTCTCTAAACTGCTTGATCTATATTTAAATTGTGTAAATTAATATGAGAAACAAAAAAAAATGCTCTGTTATTTGTATTAGTATAAACTTAATTATGTAAGTCTGAATTGGAACTGATTAGTATTCTATCATTATAATTTATTAGGCTTCATAGATATTATTCGTGTTGTGTGCAGATAAGAAAATTATTTTTGTATTAGAATATAATTGCATATAAAGTATTTTAGTTAGTGAATTTGTTCGGCACATACTTTTAAGATTGTTAAAGACAATATTGTATTTGTTAAAGTTAATATTCAACTCTTTCTTTCGGGCGGTGGAGGGTGTTGCATTTTAGACCTTCACTTTCCTCATTAAAGTTAAAATATTTATAATCTGTATAAAAATTACTAAAACTATATTTTTGTTATCTGTGGGTTAGGCAGTCTGTGGTTAACGCGAATAAAGGAACGGTGGTCGTAAAAATATTAAGTTTTATTTTATCCAAAAATATCTCAAATTAAAGGTGCGATCATCAAATTTTATCCCAACCTAACGGCAGAGGCGGCGCTGCGAAAGAGAAAACGGGTGATGCGCGTGCATCTTAAAATTTCACTTCCATCATTTTGTTCATAACGCGACTAAAGAAGTATAACTACAAAAAATATAAGAATAAAGTTTTTACTAGGCGCACGCACAGCGCACAACAACAGCCAGACGTGGTGAATTTGGTTCTAAAACAGCCAACTGTAGGGTATTATCGGGCAATCAATAACAACCTTTTGACATTTACCTGTAATTCCAAGTTATTTTATTAAACCGTTATCAATAGGACATAATGTATTTTCACAAACAAAGAGTACGGGCACAGGGGATTCTTTTTAGTTATTTTTCTTTTGTTACGCTAAAGAAGTATGACTTCTTACGTGCGTTATTTATGTAAGTACGTACACTTCACACACTTGTTCACATATTTTTTTGTAAATATAGTTTGCTGTAAGGCGGCTTTGAAAGCTGTGTCAGAAGAGGTCTACGGGTAATCCACAGACTATGATACAATTACGCTATCTGTTTCACGGTATCTCGGCAACTCGATTACGACTGCCATTCTATAAAGAAGAAGTAATACGATTGTATACTAGGCGAATTAATCACGAGTTACGCTAACTAATGTCCAACAATCGGTTGTGAAAATGAAATCATGAATACAATTAAATAACATTAAGCTTGAGGTCAACATCACAAACAATAGTATATATCCAATATTAATAATATATTAATTAAATAGAAACAAATATTAACGATAACACAAAAGCAAGAAAATAATATGTGTGTGATATATTAACAAATAATGTATGAGTTGCAAGTTATATATCTATATGATGATATTAGAATCAGTGATAAGTGAAAAATTTATTATCCAATACTAATTTGGTTATATTGTACATATCAGCAGTTGATATGTGTATCGATATATCAAAATTTTTTGGACATCCCTTTAGTACGTAGTACTAGTACGGACCATAGATAAGAATAAGACAGATATACATATAGTACGATACGTACTGTTCGTTCTGTACTGCTCTGGTGTGTATCTGTTTTATTGCACCATGGAATAAAATTTTGACTCGCCATTGGAGATAGGTTAGTTTTATATTTGGTTTTATTTATTTATTTTTATCATAATCATTACATTTGACATAAAATCAGTAGTAAAAACTTTATAAGGGTAATGTCATTTCATATATGTCCTCATTTGAGCTTCCTAGTTAGCACTACAGCAAGGCATAATTATAATATTATATTAATTTTTATTGTTACTATAGTGGGAAAGAAGAATATCGCAGCCGTGGTTATATTTTAGAAAGCTTTTTATTGTACCCGTCCATTTCTTCAATTTTTTTATGCAGTTTATATATTTGATATTTCAAACTGTTATGTAACTTAGTAAAAACAAAAAAAATAGTAACAAGTAATCAGTTCTGTTTGGATCGTCAATAGATTTGCAAGTAAAACGTACAGGATTAAATGTACAGGAATTATATCCTATATCAACAATTAGTATTTTTTTATATCTACATGTTTCACCATGATGATATAATTGGTAATTGTCATCTTAGATAATTCAGACAAAAACATCTGCACTCATCATGAAGCAATGCTCATTGTCTCTAATTTTTCATTTAACCTCATCTCTTCCTTAGATGTCTTGATAAATTTCAAATAAATAGAGTTTTAAATAAAACTGCATTACTTTCTTGCTGCAATTTTGTTACAAAGTAATGATGCTTAATATTAGTATGTTAATAAACATTGTAAATAATGCATGATAATTTTAAATAGACTATTTTTGTAATGTGATATCTAAATGGCTGCAGAATATGAGAAATTTGAATTTTCCCCTCCCAAAAGCCTTTTTTTTTACCAAATTAAAGTCATTTTTAATTATATGCTGAATAAACTTCACACATTATATCACAGTTAAATATAATTAAATTGATTTTAAAATTGAATTGCATATACCTATATCAAATACAAATACAATATACTTTATTTCCGAAAAAAAAAAAAACTTTTACATTTACGCCTTATGAACTGAATGTGGGCGACATTAGGCTGTTGCATGTCCTATGGGGGATAAATATTACGATCTACAGTTTGATTTACGGGCTGTTAATGACAGATATATAATTAATTAATTTAATTTAATGATATTAAAATAATTTGTGAAATGTCACAGCTTTAGTGAAGTGGAGCTGTAAATCTCATAATCCATGTCACTACCAAACTAATGACATCCTCATTTCACCTAGATCTTTTACATTTTAAATAAAATAACTAAAATATGACAGTGGTTACTAAATTAAAAGCCAATAGCACACTTTTTTAAGTGATAAAGGATTTAAGATCTTGTTATATTGTATTAGCCGTAACCGGCTTTGTCACAAACTTGTTTCTATTTTATATATATATATATATGTATATTGTTTGCGTAACACATCCATTTAGTTGAATCCTGTTGAGTGAAGTTGGAATGAGTTTTAATATTTATAGATAAATTAAATGACAAAAGTTCAAGTATAGAAGTTCCCACACAACTCAAATATTTGTGTGGCCCACAGATAATTGTTTCGGATCTGGCTGTTTGTCCAGGTGATATTAATGTATGTAAAACATCTTTACAACACACAATAATGTTATCTACCGTTAGGGGAAGTTTTCAAAGGTAAGACTTCAATAGATCTTTTAGGTTGCAGTGGTCATTGGGACTTACCCAACCCCTTTCACACATAATACAAATACAAAGTGAATGTCATAATAGAATAAATGGATAAAATATGTTATTATAAATCACACATTTGTAATTTTCATGTTTTTATTATATGAAAATATATTTTTCTATTCATAATTGATATTGCGACTCCCCTGGGGTTATGCCCTAGACTAGACTAGTTTTGTTGTATACAGCATGATTATCACAATATCCTGTTAAATTATAGCTAATGTGTTATTCTGGTGTATAAGCAGTAGTTATTCGTGTGAGAGTAAAAAATATACATCCATTCTTACAAACTTTGACATTTATAACATTGGTAGTACATAAAAAGGCGCTAAAAGTAGAACTCACTGCTTTAAAGCCACCGATGTGTAAGACAATGCTTTAAATTAAATTAAACTTATAAATTTATAAATTTATACAAGATGTGTTTTTGTGGAAATTGTTCTTTTTCATTCAATCACTTTTTCATTTTTATTCACATTAGCATTTGCTCCTGATTTCTATGAATCTCTTGATAAAATAAAGCTGTTATTTTTAAGTTTAAAAATGCAGGTTATCAGCAGATATACTCATTCAAAATTTAAACAAAACATTAAATAACGATAGTATAAATTGGTTACAAAATGGAGCTGTTTTTCTTCAATATATAGCTTTGTATTTAATTTATTTTCCTCAAATGTTTTCCCAGTAATCTACTAAGTTTTTTTGTCTATTTATGACTATTTTTCTAGTAATCTCTTAGTTGCTCTCATTAAATTTATAATATATTAATTGGAATTTATATTATGCATGAAAGATTTTGGGTATGTATTGATAACTTTTACATAAACATTAACATCTGGTGTTCTTACCATTTTAGTTATTTTAATGTTTCATAATCAAGTATATTTATTTTCAGTTATATGGCGATTAGCAAGTTCCTCCGTCGGAACTTCGTTAGTTTATCATTTCCCATAGTTTCAGTCACCTTAATTTGGCTTGACTGGAACCACACCAGGAAGTGGAAAGCTCAGTTGAAACAAAATTAAAATGGCCGTCTTCGGAATAACCTCACGCTTTTTGATGATTCTGACTATCCCTGTCACTGGATTCTTCATTGGGAAGTTTCTGGATGATCAGGAAACGCTCAGAATGACAAGCTTTAGGGATAAGTCTTGCTTGTTTGGAGGGAATGTCAAGGAAGGAGATCCTCCATCGTGGCCCTGAATTGTGCCAGCCAATAGTAATGTTAGGGCAGTTATAATATCAGTTGCAATAAATTAATTATTGTTCATTTTTGTTTTACTAGCCCCTATTTTATTTAAGATTTATATTATAATCACTATATATATATGTAGGTAATATAAGGAAAGGACTATGAACAGGGAAGGATGGATATGATACACAGCTGAACTACTGGGATGCTGCACCGACACGACACTAGCTCTTAAATTAAAGAAGATTTCACTAACTTCTACTTGTGTACTTTGTAGGAAGGCAGATGTGTTTGCCACCTTAGAATAAAGTGGATACCGTTCCGCACTCAATACCGTACATGAAA